GTTTGTTGGGAGGCAGCCCAACCACTCGGTTTGCGTATCATTTCCTTTTTGTTTTTGAATAACTGTTTGAGTAGTAGATTAGATGTATTGAGAATGATTGATACAACTTAGCCCTTGCCTTTGGATTTTTGAATGATTTAAATGAACGATTGAATTAGTAGAAGTGGAGAAAGTGTGATATCCTGAACATGCCAAAGATCGCATTTGGTAGGCTGAAGATCGCTGTCGCTTTTTTTTATGAAGAACTATGATCCCTATAAGTAATAGTGACGGCTAGTTGTTTGTAAGAAATCAACTAAACTGGTCATACAAGAGTCTTGACGAACTTTAGGGGGAAAAAATTACTCAAAATCAGTATATATACCAAATATCTTCTAATGCAACCATCAAAACCATTCAAAAAATAATAAGCAACAATCGATAGTATAAACTAATGAATTCGTGGTAACCTCATGTATACTAGAAATATGGAAAATTTACACAACCAATCTTCCAATGAGTGTTGGAATCGAAATACTTGCAATTGGCATCATACCACTAATTTTTCTTCGTATCTAGAACTACTTTCTACAAATGAAAGCAAGTACACTCGTATAAAAGTGATCAGAAGTACTCAGAAATAGTACATTGCAGGGGAGGAAGTTGATACCCCAACTCCGAAGAAACAGTTCGTGGAAGAACATGATGAAGCTGATAAGGTGGAGGTAGCCAGCCTGGAGTGGCCCCATCCAGTTAAATGAGGCTTTTGGCCTGGAATGTGAGAGGAATTGGGCCATCCCTCACGTTCCAAACTGCTGTTGGTCTTGTGCGTTCTAATAAACCGGATCTCGTGTTTTTTTCGGAAACACGATCGAGACGGAGAGTAGTAGCCCGCCGTATGCGGGGGGTTAGGTTTCCTTTCGTCCTGTTGTTTTTTTTGTCGATGCTATTGAAGCGTCTGGTGGCTTGGTAGTGGCTTGGAACCCCGAAGTAGATGTTTCAGTGGTTTTTCATTCGAACTTTTGTATTTGTGTTCAAGTTAATGAAATAAATGTTTCGTATGTGGTGGTGTGTGTCTACATTGGTTGTGATGCTGGGAATCGAGCTACTCAGCTTGCACAGATTCAGGATTTCTGCAGTACCATCAATGCACCGTATGTGGTCATTGGGGATTTTAACTCGACGCTCCTGGAGTGTGAAAAGGAGGGGGGCAACCGGTGGAATATGGGGCAATCCCTAAGTCTGCGTAGCCTCGTTCAAAATCTTGGTCTGATTGATCCGGGTTTTCAAGGGGACCCTTTTACCTGGACGAACAGGCGGATGGGAGCGGATTGTATCAGGGAAAGACTTGATAGGGCTCTTTGCTCGCAGTCATGGCTTGACCGCTATCCTGAGACTCTGGTTAAACACTATACGGACCAGGGGTCGGACCATCGGGCACTCCTCTTATCTGATAAGCCTTACGCCTGTAGTAATCGCCCCTTATTCCGATTTGACGCCCGGTGGGCTGACAATCCGGAAGTCAAAGCCATGGTTAATTACGTCTGGCAAGAGGACTTCCATGGTACGCCTATGTTTCGCCTTTGGGAGCGTCTCAAAAAGCTCCGCCATCTGTTATATGACTGGAGCAGGGCTGGTACTACCAATTCTTTACGTAATATCAATACCCTGCAAGGGGAAATAGATAGGCTGGAAAAGGTCATCCCGATCAATTGGGATGCGATCAGAGTGATCGAGGATGAGTTGGCTAGACAATGGGAAGCGGAAGAAGAATACTGGCAACAGAAATCTCGAGTCCATTGGCTTAAGAAAGGTGATAAAAATACCTCTTATTTCCATACAGTAACTAGGGCTCGCCGAAAAAGGAATTTCGTGGAAGGGCTCCAGACTGACAATGGGGAGTGGATTACTGACGAGAAAGGGAAAGCTGATATTGCTACTGATTTTTACCGAACCCTCTTCACGTCAAAAAATCAAGTCCAAAATATGAGAGAGCGGGTAGCTGCTCTGCCTATCGACCGGAGTGTTACTCCGGCTATGAATGAAGCCTTAACAGGAATAGTTCTCCCTGAAGAAGTGCGTAAAACGGTCTTTGCAATGGGGTCAAAACAGGCCCCGGGGTCTGATGGCTTCACATGCAAATTTTTCAAAGCCTTCTGGGGAATTGTGGGACCTTCAGTGGTTGATGCAGTTTGCTCCTTCTTTTCAACAGGTAGGATGCTCCGTAGTTTCAACCATACCTGGCTCACCCTTATTCCTAAAGTGGATAATGTGGAGACGATGAAACAATTGCGACCGATTAGCCTCTGCCAATTTGTCTACAAGATTATAGCTAAAATTCTGGCAGAGCGTCTGGCGTGCGTTTTACCAAGCATTGTTTCAGATGGGCAAAATGCGTTCATTAGGGAAAGACAGATCGTGGAGAATATTCTGATTGGCCACGAGATTATGCACTACTTAAAAACCAAAACGCGTGGTAAAAAGGGTTACATGGCTCTAAAGGTTGATATGGAAAATGCCTATGATAGAGTTGAGTGGCCTTTTTTACTTACAGTGTTGGAGAAGTTGGGTTTTAGTCCGATCTGGCTCGGTTGGATCCAGGAATGCCTCCGTTCTTCGTCTTTCTCGGTCATGATGAACGGGACGCCATCCGGGTTTTTTACACCTACTAGAGGGCTTCGTCAGGGAGATCCCCTCTCTCCGCTGTTGTTTGTCCTCTGTACTGAGGGGTTTGCGGCCCTCCTTCGGAAGGCAATTACGGAGAAAAAACTGGCAGGCGTTAGGGTTTCCCCTAGGGCTCCACGTATCTCGCATTTATTCTTTGCGGATGATTCGTATCTGTTTCTGCGTGGGACGCTCCAGGAATGTGATAATTTAATGGTGTGTTGAAGGAGTATGAGGAGCTGAGTGGCCAACGAGTGAATTTAGCAAAGTCAGCAGTTTGCTTCAGTAAGAATATTCTTCCGCCGGACCAAGAATTCCTAGCGGCAGTTTTGGGGGTAGGGGCAGTGGGGGTCCAGGATAAGTATCTGGGGCTCCCAACCCTGATTGCCATATCTAAAATGGAGACCTTTCGTTACTTGGAGGAGAAGTTATTAGAGCGGCTGCAGGGTTGGAAACAGAGAACTCTGTCTTGGGCAGCCAAGGAGATACTGATTAAATCTATTGCTCTGGCGTTGCCTTTCATGTGATGTCGTGCTTCAAGTTGCCGCTCTCCCTGTGTCGTCTGTTGGATGGGCATGTTGCGCGCTTTTGGTGGGGATTTACTGAGAACCATTCTAAGGTGAGGTGGATGTCCTGGAGGGACATGTGCAGAAGCAAACATGATGGGGGAATGGGGTTCCGTCAGTTCGAGAACTTCAATCAGGCTCTTCTGGCTAAGATTGGATGGCGCATCCTCTGTGAGCCACAGTCCCTCCTTGCCCAGGTCTATAAAGGGAAATACTTCCCGAATGGGCATTTCCTGAGTGCTACGGCTCGCTCCCGTCCGTCCTGGGGTTGGCAAAGTATTCTTTATGGCCGGCAGCTGTTGGAAATGGGATTGCGTTGGCAAATTGGGAATGGTCGCTCCGCCTCCATGCTTCGCTCTACTTGGGTACCTAACCATCAGTTTGAATCTTTACGGTATAATCCGATGGTTCTACCGGGTGGAGGGGACCCCCTGGTTTCTGAGCTGATTTGTCCGGGAGAGGGTAGATGGTGTGACTTGAAGCTCAGCCAGTGGTTTGATCCAGTTACCGGTAAAGCTATCAAGGCTATTCCACTACCAAGAGAGGATGTGGAGGATAGGCTCATTTGGTATGACACGGTGGATGGGGTTTTTTCGGTAAAATCAGCATACCATTTGTCAGTGGCCCTTGAGAGGAGAAGGGGTCGTTGGAAAAGCTCGGTGGGTTGGATGGATCGGGCTAGTTGGATTCGGCTGTGGAATGCCAATATTCCCCCGAAACTAAAGGTGTTTGTGTGGCAGGTTTTTAACCGGATCCTTCCCACTACAGAAGCTCTCATTTGGCGTAAGGTCCTTGTGCACCCGCGCTGCCCAGTTTGTTGGGATAGTGCGGAGACTTTGGAACACTTATTCCTGGATTGTCGTGTGGCACGAAGCCTCTGGGTGGCGGCCGGACTCGAGTACGTTGGGGAGGAACTTCCTAGGCATACTTTTCCTCTCTTTCTCAAAAAGTTGTTGGCTGCAATCGAGCAACCTTCTCTGTTTATGGCCGTTGTGGCTATTTTGTGGAGAATTTGGCGGTCTCGAAACTGGGTGGTGTTTGAAGGGAAACAGTATGGAACTGATGCACTGTTGCGCCAGTTTAGGCAACAGTATGAGGAATGGGTCAGGCTTCCGGTGGATAAAGTGGCTCAGTGCTCGGCCTCTGTGGATCGCCCGTCCGTCCAGGGGGACTCGGCGGGGGTAGTTTGCGGATGGGACGGGGCCACTCGGAGGGGCTCGCATGCAGCAGGAGGGGTTGTACTTATGTCCCCGGATCGGGCCATCTTGAGAGCTATTGGGGTCCAGTTCCTGGGTATTGATGATCCCTTGGTAGCTGAAGTGCTTACCCTGCGAGAGGCAGTTCGCTGGTGTGAGGGCCAGGGGTTTAATAGCGTGCGATTTGAAGGAGATGCCCAGGTCATCATTGAGAAAATCAGGCGGGCGGATACAAGGGACAACAAGATTGGAGCGGTATTGGACGAAGTGCTTCGGTATTTTGTTAGTAATCATGGGTTTAGTATACGATTTATAGGTCGGAGTAGCAATAGGGTAGCCCATCTCGTGGCTAGGAAGGCCCTTTCTTTGTGCCCGACTATGAGTCGTTTGTTTGATTTCCAGGCCTGGTTGAGAACCAGGATGTAACTGTCTTTTCGTATCTTTAATATAAGATTATCTTTTCCCAAAAAAAAAAAAATACCAACTAGTTTTCTACAAACACCATTTGTCAAGTTAGCTAACATATCTTCTCCCCTCGCAACGCCAACCTCTCATTCTGTGTCTCTCACCGATTAGCCAAATACCGAACACCGATATGGCCGACCAGAATCAACCACCGTCACAGGAACCGGCATCCACCGACGGCGGTTCCCCTCACGAAGCTCTGTTCCTCGTCCTGCCTTACCTCTCCGTACTCGAACTTATCAACGTGTCCCGAGTTTGTACCTCCCTCCGCCGCGCCGTGGAGGATGACGATGGCATTCTGCCGTGGCTCGACTTAGTCGTGGAAAGACCCTTGAGCCGGCGACTCTCCGACCAGCGCCTCATCGGGATTTCGTCACGAGGAAAAGGGAGATTGAAGAGCTTGCTTGATACTGGTGGATTGCATCAACGTTACTGACGACGGGCTTCAATTGGTGGTCTCCAACAATCCGCTCATCGCTAAGGTATATTTTTGGTAAAATTATTATGGCCATCACTGAACTTTTTGCTTCTGTTCAATTAGTTCACTACATTAATATGAGTTGCATGCCTTCTTGTTTCCAGCTTCATGTGCCAGGATGCATCAGACTCACACCAGATGGGATCATAAGAGCAGTGAAGACGTTATCCGACGACAACAGCGACTGCAGGCTGAAGAGTTTATGCATAAGCAACATCCTCGGCATCAACAAGCAACACTTCCACAGTCTCTGCTCCTACCTCCAAAGTGCTCACAAGCTAGGAGACACGGCAACATCCAACATTATCGACGTGGATATCTGTCCTGTCTGCGACGAAGTGAGGCAGGTTTATGCCTGCCCACAGTCATCAGAAAAGGGAAAATGCAGCAGGAGGGGATGCAAGCTGTGCATTCCGAGGTGTGAGGAATGCGGAAGATGTGCTGATTGTAAGGAGGATGTTGAACTAGAAGAGGCTACCCTTTGTTCGGAAGTCCTGTGCTCCGAATGCTGGCTTCACCTTCCGAAATGCAACCACTGTAACCAGCCTTACTGCACAAAGCATGCCTACCGGCGGCAACAGCAGCAGGATGGCTCTGGTGGTGGCACCGGGTGGCTATGCGAGGCTTGTCACGTGAAAGCTAATGAGGTCTTGGAGCATGGTGATGATGATGATTGAGTAGGTTTATATCTTGTGAAGAGCACAGTGCAATCTCTCTCCATCTAGTCATAAATAGGAAAGGAAAAGTCTATATCTTGAAAGCTAAAATTGTCACAACCTGTTTCATTTCTGAATGTTGCACACAAGCAGCTTGTCCATGGCAAGGTGGAGATGTAAAGCTAAAATACATGGCAAACATACACATGGTATATATGGAGTCCATCATTCTAACATGGTATGAAGTAATCCATACATGTATGTAAGTCGATGTAGTTTTCAATATTAGAAATACCCATGGCAGCGGGCATGCAGATTGAACTCAACTGAGAAGGGGGACTCTTGCAGGTCGCCTCTTGTTGCGTTTCAACAAAACGAAGTAGATTGGATCTTCAGAGCTAAGTTCATACAGTTGTCCTGCGATGTAGGCACAAGTAGTAACACTGGTGCAATAGACAGGAAAGGAGAAGTCAGTTTTGGCTTTTGCAACAAGTGGGAATGCAATTGTTTAGTGCTTGCAAAAGAACTTTCGAGGACACTAACAAACTGATCACAGAAGTCTGAACTTTGATTTTTGGAAGAAGGTTTTAGATGACCAACATAACAGTCTCCAATTCTTTCCAATTTTCCAGCAAAAACTATTCGGATTAGCGTGTGCACCGACTCGAGTTTGTTATAGAAAATGTTGCGCATGCAGTAATTAGCTGACATGTACGCCCCATTTGAAGCTTTACACCCACATCTGGTTTGAAGCAAACCAGTTGATCAACTCAATTCCAACTGCAACCCCCATTTGAAGCTTTAAACCCAAATCTGTTATATTACTCATTCCACTTCTACATTACAGTGAGAAGCTTGTCGAAAGTACTTTCGTGACCATTAATGTGATAAACCCGGTTTATTAAGTTTAATTGAGTATTTGCAATGAATTATGTCATCAAACAGATTCTTCAACCACATTTCATGTTGAAAGGAAAAAACAAGGTAATTCTAAGTTTATTTACCCCATAGTTGTTCAACCCCAATTCCAACACATGATATAAAGTAGTGCAGTTCAAGGTATACAGTAAAAGTTCATGAAGAGGAATTAATTACCTCCCAAGACATATCAGTAGAACAATCCAAATGGAAGCAAGCACTAAACCAACTTGTTTCTTTATAGCCAACCCACACCTGCATTGGATATTTGAGAACATCACGGAAGAGTGAAAAGTTAGAAATACGAATAACCAAACTTAAAAAGTTAGGACAAAGCCTCAGAGTGGCAAAGGTGACCTACCGAGAGAGCTAGAACAATGATATAGAATTCCACCACTGTTGTTGACACCTACCTTCGACCCATTCTGGCAGCAAATAAGCAATCACAATCGAATGGATGGTAAAGAGAATAGGCAACAGAAAACAAAACAAAAAAATCGTAAGACATTCCCATTCCTGCCTCAGTAACTATATACACTAGAGCAGAGTCGCAAGGTTAAACTTGATTGACAGTTTGAACAAACAAAACAAATAGAAGTGAATGCATCAAAATCTTACCGAGTGAAAACCTCTGTACGGAAAGGAGAACCATCAGCCACAATAGAGCAAATCAGACTTGATATCACCAAACAACCAAGAATGGTGAAAACGATTCTTGCAGCGATGACTGGAGAGTACTTCCCCTTTTCTTCCTCACTGCTCCTAAAAGCAAAGCGGTGTTGGTACCATTATTAGTCACTTAAAGAGGATGACCAGAGAGAAGAAGCTGACAGCGTTGAATCAGTATGATGAGTTTTACGAGGTGATGGGGCAAACAGGGATGCCCTCTACTGAGAAGAGAGATTTGGGAACATGTTGATAAAAAGACAAGCATATACTCCTAGGATTCACAGAGGGGAAGCATGTCCACAAAGCGAGAAACACAAGCTCAAATTCAACATCAAAAGCATCAAAGCCATGTCCCCGGGACAAACGGATGCATCAGTCATAGTTGGAAATTGCAGAAGATAGATTAATAAACAGACAAACAGTAAATTCCCAGTTGCATCTTGTATCTGGCAGAAGATGAAAAGAAACAGTAGTCATGGTTTTATAGGTCAAATGAAGTTCAAAGGGTACCTGTTTTCATGCCGCAATAGCACATGACAGATAGGGTCTTGTGCAGATTCTTCAGGTGACAACTTGAGAAACTGAATAAGATATAGCTGCAAGTAGTGAAGCTGTAGATGGTGAACACCAAGAGAAACACAAGGACTTCAACATCAAATCAATACTCAGAACAAAAGATAAAACATCGAATAACCAAGTCATCTACTAAGAGAAGCAAACATACCCGCCAAGGCACATCAGCAGAACCACCCAAATTGCTGAATTCACAAAATTGGATTCCTTGTGGACAACCCAAAGCTGAAATGAGAGCTCAAGTACATCAGCACAAACTGAAACATCGTTTACAATAGCATTCTGACTCACAGTAAGAACCACAAAATCTAAGACATCGTTAGTAGACTACAACAGTTCTAGTGTCTGAATTCAAATCATCATGAGAAAGATCAAAAGAAGCAAAGTTCATGAATAGGCTTAATTTACCGCCACGGCAACAATGTTCACATAGATTTCAGCTAAAGTAGCAGGCATCCATCTGCAAATGCAAGCAAAACACACAAAATTCCAGCTTTTGAATCAGTTACTGCATAAAAATATCAAGAAGAACGAAGGCAGGAACTGAAGCAGCTCGAAGGAGAAGTACGGCGAGAGGAACTCCATGCGTAAGGGGTGGCCATCAACGTAGAAAGTGTAGATGAAAAGGGCGGCGATCACGCAGGCTAGTGCGAAAAAGAGAGTCCGCCATCGCAGTGCGGCAGCGGCGCAAGAGATTGGACTCGTTCTCGTGTCGCCATTCGAGTGCGAGAGCAAGCTTTTTTCTAATGGGGGCAGTGAAGCGGGAGAGGAGAGTCCAAGCTCGTGGGCGATAAAATACTGAATTTGGCTGAAAAGTCTATTTCACTTCACACCCACTGAATTCAAGCGATTCACCTTTTTACCACCGAACTTCATTTTCTTCACAGAATGATCACTTAACTTTACATTTCGTCCATTTTTTGGATTGAACAAGAGACGGACGGGGAAGGCGAGGCCGCCGGCGGTGGCGAGCGACCCTCGACTTCAAATGAATCGAGAAAAAAGGGAAATTAGAAGAAGCGGAAAAATTCATTCCGTTCGTTAATTAGGTCTCCTCGGAAGAAAGCCGGCGAAGGCGCTTTTCCAAATCATCCAATTTTGCGCTCCACTCTTTCTTCACGCGCACCGGCCGAACATTGCTGTAATCCGTCGACGCCTCTTCGTCGCCGGAGGGAGGAGGGGATTCCCGCAATTGACCGATTCTCTTCCGATTCTTGACTTTGCTCTTCACGGCAGCCACCTTCTGCATAGCCAACAGCACATCCAGCCCTCTCAATTGGTTCGGTGTCCCCTGTTTCTCGTCCCCTGCAGTAGAATCCTCTGTTTCTTGTGCCTTGGCTGGAACTGCGTACGATGAACGGCAGCGAGGGGCGGCGGGGAAACCGGCCGGTTTAGTGGGGACGGTGAGTTTAATAAGTGTCGTCGGAGAAACCAAGGGTGTGGATGGCAGAATGGAGATGGAGGAAGCCCACATCCACATGGTATTTTCCTTTGAACAGAGAGGAAGCTTTTTTTTTAATGGTGACGACGCGAAGCCGGAGGAGAGTCAGAGTCCAGGAACCAAGTTCGTGAACCACTCAATTTTAGCTGAAAACCAGAAAAAGTCGACTTCTGCTGCAATCAATCTCGAATTTCATAAATATTTTCACCTTTCGTCACCTAACTTTGGTTCTTTAACAGAACGGTCACTTAACTTTACGCTAACAAGTAACAACTAACCGTGTTGGTCATTTGCATTTTTAGTCAATCTCTCCAGTATTTTCCGTCCAAACTGAACACATCAGCACACCACCAGAGCGATGATCTCTGGGAAATGTGAAAGATCAAGCCTGGGTTTGTGGCTCAGAACAACGTCCCGCCGCAGACAATCGCAGTGGGAAACTCGACGAAGCTGATCGAAAGGAAGAAATCGTCGTCAGAACGTAATCGTCTGTTGAATGAATCCTTGAAGTTGCATCAATATATCACCAAATTTCTTACATTGTATAAACAGACAATACGCCCAATCTTTCATGAGCCTTAGAGGGTGATCGTCACCACCTGCGCCTCACATCTCGGCACAGTGGAACGTGTAACCCGCCTGCTGACTCATTCAACTACATTTGAGTACATTTCCATGGACACTAAAAATCAACATTCCGAATATTGACATTGAATAGTTTGCATATATATGACTTGAGAAGTAGTGTAGCAGAAGCGAACACTAACAGGTAATCACAGGCTGCTACTGTATGTGTTTTTTTTTTTTTTTTGCCATAGGTATCCCAAAAGGGAGACGACAAGATACGAGTTCATAGGGACCTTTGCAGGTCAAATCATAAAATAGAGGAAAGGAAGGAGCGTTGGTCAACCATGAGGCGATCCAACGATAAGAGGACTTGTTTTGCCACGAAATGGGCAGCCCTATTATACCTACGAGGTGCGAAGTGGAACGAGACACGCTGAAGAGAGGAGCGAAGGGTCTGGACCTCAGATAAAAGAGCACCACCCAAAGCGTGCGACGTATCCTTCGCGTTGACCATCCGTATGATCACCTGCGCATCACCACAGAAACTTACATTAGTAATGGAATGAGATAAGCACCATCGGAGGGCATCTCTCAGAGCTATAAGTTCAATGAGGAAGGGGTCACTTATAAAATCATAGAATCGCCCAAAAGCAAAGATCACTAATTGATTCCCTGAGAACCCAACAAAACCAATAGCTCCACCCACTGAAGCCTTGGTAGCTCCGTCGAAGTGGACAAGTGTAGCTCCGGATGGGATGGTCGGTGGTCCTGGGTTGCGACTCATAAGGGGAATAGGAGGAATAGGACGGGTTTGTACAGCGGCTTCTTGGGCAGAAGTCCATTCAGCAACTTGGGATTCCATCTGTCGAAACATTGTTGAAGGAAGAAATTGGGTGTTGTCGTAAGCTGTCGAACATCGGGATTTCCAGATCCGCCAATACAGGAATACTAGTCGGGTGATGATAGCCACTGGAATACCTGCATCAAAGAAAAACCACCGCCAACCAATAGCTATATGGGAATGAGCAACCTGCACACGCAAATAAGTTAGACCTACCAATTCCCATAGTTCCACCGCTACTCTGCAATGGAGAAAGGTATGTCGGAGAGTCTCAGGGCCAGTAGAGCAAATAGGACACATGATTGCCTCTACATCATCATCATCAATAATCTTTTTATCACGCAGAATATCTTTCAAAGGAAGAAAACCTTGGATTAGTCTCCACATGAAGAAACGTAATTTGGGAGGAACCGGGAGAGCCCAAAGGAATTTCCAAGATTGGGGATCAAACACAATGGGGATGGTAGACAAATCTCGAATAAAATCTTCAGAGGCTATCTTATATCCAGATTTCACTGTATATAGACCTGATTTTTCATAGTGCCACACAAGTCGGTCTTGTACTGGGAAAATAGGGAGTGGAATACTTCGGATAGTCTGAACTGTAGTTGCATCAAATAGTGAGAGGAGAAGTTGTACCTTCCAGGAGCCAGAAGAGTGGTCGATGAGGCAAGATACGTGTGGAGAAGGAGGAGACACATGTGGCAATAGCTTCGGGGAGGAGGGAGGGGTAGTCGGGAGCCAAATATCTTCAGTAATATGAACTGAAATACCTGATCCAATCGACCATCGAAGTCCTTTGAGCAAGAGACTTCGCCCTATGAGGATTCCTTGCCATGCCCAAGATGGACGATTTCCTTGTGGAGCGTGTAAAAATGAAGAATAAGGGAAATACCGACCTTTGTAAATAGAAGCTAGTAGGCTCTCCGAACTTTGCAGAATTCGCCACGCCTGTTTTGCTAGAAGGGCAACATTGTTGCTATCTAAATCACGAAACCCAAGCCCTCCTGCTATCTTCGGTCGACATAGAGCTCTCCAAGATGTCCATTTCATCCCACTCTCACGATCCTGTTGCGCCCACCAAAAACGTGCCAAATGACCATTAAGCCGCCTACAAAAGAGGGAAGGGAATCGAAAGCTAGACATGGCATATATAGGAGAGGCAAATGCCACAGACTTGAGGACTATTTCTTTAGCTGCTAGTGACATGGACTGTGATTTCCAAATCTGTAACCGACGTAACATTTTATCTTCTATATATTGGAATGTATGCTGCTTGGAGCGGGCTAAGCGGACCGGTAGGCCGAGATAACGATCATCTTCACCACTTGCAGATACTCCTAGAATTGTCATTATCTCCTGCGCTTCTCTACCCGAGACATTTGCACTGAATAAGGCTGTAGATTTGTGAAGATTAACCTTTTGTCCACTAACTTGCTGATATGTGGAGAGTAAGGCTAGTAGATTTTGGCATTCAGGAATAGATGCACGGAGGAAGAGGTAAGAATCATCTGCAAAGAAGAGATGAGAGACTACCGGGCAACGTCTATGTATCTTGAGGCCATGAAGAAAATTACTTTGCACTGCTTGGTTTAATAATGCCGAGAACGCCTCAGTATAAATGGCATATAGAAGAGGGGATAAGGGATCTCCCTGGCGTAAGCCACGTTGCGGATGGAAGTATCCATGGGGAGAGCCGTTGACTAGTACCGAGAAGGAGACGGTTGAAACACACTCCCAAACCCACTTTAGCCATTGGTCTGTAAAACCAAGTCGCTTCATTACAGCAAATAAGAACTCCCATTCAACTCGATCGTATGCTTTTTCCATGTCAAGTTTGAGCGCCATCCACTTTTCTTGTCCCTGTGATTTAATTTTAAGAAATTGTATTACTTCTTGAGCAAGTAGGACGTTGTCTGAAATCAGTCTACCCTTAACAAAACCATTTTGGTAGGGTCCTATGACCTGGGGGAGGACTTCTTTAAGTCTTGTTGTTAGGATTTTTGAAATGATCTTATAAGGAACCTGACATAGGCTAATGGGGCGCATCTGCTGCATGGTCTCTGCATTGGGCACCTTGGGGATCAAGGTCACCCAAGTATGATTAAAATTGGGGAGTAGGTGGCCTGTACGGAAGAATTCCAAGACAGCAGCAGTAACTAAGTCCCCCACTTGTCCCCAAAAGGACTGAAAAAAGAGGCCCGTAAAGCCATCTGAGCCCGGGGCTTGTGAGCCCCCTATGATGAAAACAGCAATGCGAATTTCATCACGAGATACTTGAGAGGTTAGAATACCATTAAGTTCAGGGGTAAGTACGTTATGCAATACCAAATTATTCATAAATTGGGCAACTTGATTGGCCTCTGAGGTGGATAGGTTTTGGAAGTAGGCAACTGAGATCCTCCCTTTGGAGCCCTCGTCAGTGACGATGTTCCCTGATTCATCCTTCAGTTGGAGGATACGATTACATCGACGTCTTTTGAGGGTTGTAAGATGGAAGAATTTTGTATTGGAATCACTCTCGTTTAACCAACCAATGCGAGACTTTTGGTGCCAGTACTTTTCTTCCTCGATGAAAGCTGTAGAGAGTTGTTGTTCGAGGGTAGAAATTGTGGCCCAATCAACCTGGGGAAAATTCCTTTGCACTTCAATCGCGTCCTGCAGTTCACGGATAGTTCGCGCCGAGTTAGATGTACCCTTGGACGCCCATGAGTGCAATTGATGTCGCAATGACTTGAGGATGATATGAAGTTGGAATTGGTAAGTACCACTGATTCTCTGTTGCCATGAAGCAATAATGATGACCTTTGCCTCCGCATTTTCCACCCATCGGCTATCAAAGTGAAAATTTGCTCGGGTCCGAGCTGCTGCCTGATGGAGCTGTAATAGAATCATACGGTGATCAGAACCTAGATCCGAGAGATGGAAGACTTGCATACCTGGCCAGGCTATCATGGCACTATTAGAGGCAAGACATCGGTCCAAACGTTCCATGATATGGTGCTCTGGAGATCGGCGATTAGTCCACGTAAATGGCGGACCATGAAATCCGACATCTTGTAGTTGAGCTACAGTAACAAAGTCTTGTAATTGGGAAAGAGATTGTGGAGAAACTGGTCTGCCACCCCTTTTTTCCGTTGTAGACAACAGACAATTGAAATCTCCAATCACCATATAAGGAATGATGCATGACGAAAGGAAAAGGTTGATTTCATTAAGTTGCATTTGCCTACAAAATTCAGTACAATCCAAATGCACAAAAACGATTAGAACATGCCCATAGACAGGGTGGGTACAGTCTACAAACATAGTTGATTGGGATTGAGATAAAAGATTGCATTCAACCTCGGGAGTCCATGCTACAACCATGCCTCCGGCAGTGTTGACCGGGCTAACAATGATGCAATTTTTGAATCCTAATCGACTCAGGCGATTTTTAACTTTCCTATCACGACATTTTGTTTCGCAAAGGAATACAATCGTAGGACATCTAGTATGGACAACGGATAAAAGTGCTTTCCTTGCCAATGCTTTACCAAAGCCTCGACAATTCCATGCTAGGATACTCATCTTGGAGGCCGGGATAATTTCTATATGTCTATCAAGAAGCAATTAAAAGGCTCCAAAGGGACAAAATTCTTAGTGTAGAAGCGCTCAAAGTATAATATAGTACATGATCTTTGCTGTTAAATGATCACAGAAAGAGATAAGAATCTCATTTAGGCGGCTAGCAGCCTGCCAAAGGTTCCAATAAACAGGAGACCAAAACCAAGCCTTCCGGCAATCGTATGAGTTACCATACGAGCTCTTGTTGACGCGTAATTAGGAGAAGAATGCAACCGTGAGAACTAGTAGGTGTCGGAGTAGGCAAGAGAAGCGATGTGAATGAGACACTGGCTGGCAGCGTCGGGAGAGGGTAAAGGAAGTGTTGTCGTCAACTTTGATTTAGATGAAAGAAAGGGAGTTGTGGTTATCGGGATGAGTAGGCGAATGGGAGCTTGCAATTTATTTCAATGTGGCGGTCCTTTATATAAAGACCAGCCAGTACTTGTTCTCCTAGAGTACCACTTGAATTACTGGAGAAGTAAGAGAGCAGCCTAAAACCTCACAAGATAAAAGTATACGTTGGGTGAGATTGAATTGAGAATATATATATATATGGTATGCCTTGGAATTTGAATGATAGAGCCGATGTGTCTGACGAGGTCACAGAACGGCAGGAAATAAATGACCCCATAATTTCTGAGAGCTACCCACATTCAGAATCTCAACGGTCAAACTTAGTGGGTGGTATTGTGGACACAAAGGCCTATCTACTATGATTAAATGGAGCTACAAGTGGATCTCATCATGGGAAGAGTCTTGATGAGCTCACGCGTTTGAAATTAGTGTAGGTTTAGTAATTTTGAATTGAAAGTACTAGAAACTTTCGTCCTAAACAGAGGAAGGAGAGATTTGGAAATGTCCGGGCAAATTGGTGCAGATGGAGATACAGCCAATTTCGTTAGTTGGAGCTTTAAGGTATCTCCAAGCGCCATTAGAGAATGGCCATAGTTAGAAGATGGTGATGGATATGTTACGAAATAAATACGTATGGGTATTTTATTACGTCTCTAATCAAGTTGTCCATTTAAATACACTAATAGGCATGAGGTTTGGGGATATTAGAAAGATTAATTAGTTAATTAAAATGTAAATATTAGTTAAGGAAGCAATATAACTTAATAAATACGGATATTGAACGTGTTAAACACGATTTATAGGTGTTTAGCACATGAATCATCATATAAGCAGGGTAAAGTAAAACAGTTTGACAATAATATGTATACGAGTACGAGAATATGTAAGGACATATCTACATCTATTAAACGAACTATTTAGTAGCTGTGATCATGGCTGATAATAATAATATATGGGCATTGGCCGAAGCCAGTGGAACATTCCTCTTATTAATGTAAACAAACTGCAAATGATACATTGGAATGACTGAGAAATTGACATGGACCAAGAGATCCTAACGAAACACCCGTAATGATTCCATCCAAAGTGAAGGAATCTACTATTAAAGACGCGTACATTAGCTTTAGTCAACCCATAAGCCACATATCTTAGCTTGCAAAGACCCGAAGAAACACCTGAATACGATGATACTTGGGAAGGATTTCTGCAAATTTATATTTGGGAACCTCCCCCCTGCTTGCCAATTCCAGTCATATAGAAACGTTAGTCCACTGCCATGTCGAGGTTCTGACCGTCGACCAGCTCCTGGATGGTAACTGCAGGTTTGATACGGGGACTATAACTTTTAGGCATGGGCACTTCGTCAAGTATCTTATTTTTACCTTTGGTCCCCGCTGGGATTGTATGAACGGGCCCATAGGAACCAGCGCAATCATGGTGGATTTTTGTCTGTTTCTTCCTTGAATAAACCACGGGTTGGCTACCTGCCGAGTCTCCAACTTCTTCCTCAAATTGATTTCTCGGCCCACTTCCAGTATCCAAAGCTTCTGAGATAGAAATCCCATTTCCTTGGATTTTCATAACCTCTTTAGTGTGAAAGGCCTCATCCATCGGGGGTGAATGGGCCTTGGATGGGGAGCCCAATGTTGCTTCAGCTTTAGATTTCAAGGCAGCTGATCCACTGTTCTCAGCAGCGACCAACCCTCTATATGTGGATTTTGTGTTTCCACTTTCCGCCGACAGTTCCCCATTCTCAGCTATCTTCCTTTTTTGGTTACCCGCACCGGCCGGTGCGGTCTTCGATTGAGAAGTCGAGTGGCCGCTGGCATTGTATCCCGGCGTATTGTCAGCTACCGGAGGGGCAGGGAGGAGAAGAGGCATTGAGTTAGGATTCCTCCAGACGTTTCTTTGTTGGCGTCGGCGATCATGTCTGATTGGTTGGAGAGTAAGCTCATCAATCTTATGTCCTCCAATGTCCCCCTTCAGCTCCGGGCCAAAACGATAATCTGACCCTGCTTCCTTGTTTTCCTTGGGGAGTCGGCAAAGCTGGATGTTGTGGCCCATTACTCCACAGTAGAAACAGTACACCGGAAGCCGCTCATACCGTAACGAAGACCAGAATGCCGTCTCGATCACACCATCCTCTCTGATTTTTTGCGCCTCCAGACGGGGCACCAGAGGTACGGTAATATCCAGCATGACCCGGGCTTTGACAACGTATCCAGGGTCTTGTCTGATTGCGTAAAGAGCCGTTTCCTTCACAGGTCCTAGCTGTTCTGCTAGCTTTTGGCCGACGGCGACGGTGCGGAATGATGGTGGCATTCCCCAGATCTGGACTGTGAACAGAACCCTGGCTAGTTGGTTGTAGAGGTACACTGTTGGCGGCCTCCACATTTGCAATGTGATGATGTTTGATTTGATGTACCAAGGAGAGCGCCTTAGAGTTTCTTTAAGATCCGCCTCGTTTCCAAAGACAAATTGAAACAGTCCCTGATCAGCATCAAGAACGGAGACTGGGTTTCTGGTGGTCCATACATTGTTGACAATGTGCTGGATTCTAGCTCTTGCAGGTGGGGTAACCGAGAAGAACCTGCCAATGAGACTAAGTTGCCCACGAGTGTGGTCAGCCGCAAGGTCTGCTTCGGAGAAACCGACAGCGGAGATTTTTGGTTGACCAGCCATGGTTATAGGATACGACTTTAGTAGGGAGGAGATTGAGATGCGTTGGGTTGGGGGACCAGTACGGGACTGTGTCTGTAAAGAGAGATATTGATAAGCCCAGAACTATCGATAGAATTATAGAGCAAGATTGCTTTAGTCTCTAAGTAGTGGAGCGAGATTCTTCCTTAGCATAAAGATATAGATATATATAATAGATCTACAAGTCACCAACTCGCATTAATGCTACTGTATGTGTTGGATCAACAAATATTACTAGATCGCTTTGAAATGGTCCTTGCACGTTATTATGAGAATCAGCACAGCAATAACACAACACAGTGCTTCAAATACGTACACATGGTATGAAGTTAATCATTCTAGCACACACTAGTTCGGCCTCCAGAAGTATGTCTAACTGTATATGTCAGAGTTGTCTGTTGCTGCTTAGGTCCTCTCATACCTGCTTTCTGTCCTGCCATTGACAATTTTTCATGGCTCTTAGTTCTTCCATTGGCTCTCAGTTGAATCAAATTGAACTGAGAGAAGAGGAAGTCTAGACCTGTTGTTGCGTCTCAATAAGACTAGGTAGGCTGGATCTTGGGAACTAAGTTGAAACAGTTGTACGGCGATGTAGGCACAAGTAGTCACACTGCAGAGACAAAATAACAAGTACTCAATTGTCATCCACAAGAACAAAATGCCCCTCCTAATTTCCAAAATGTTTGCCTTTTAACTTCGTTTCATTATTATTCCCATCAAACTTGATCATGGGCAACAAATTTGTAGTTCAAGTAGCAAAACCAACCATACAACATTTCTGTTCAAAGATAAGAGAGAAAAAAACATGTTCAAGGTAGACACAAAAACATGGTGACGGAGATTTTACCTGCCAAAACATATCAATAGAACTATCCACATGGATGCACTAAACCAGCTTGTTTCCTTATAGGCAACCCAGACCTATATTAAGATATTTAAGCCCATCAGCAGAAGACTGTAAGTACTAGTAACCAAACATACAAGGTATGATAAGATATTTCTGGTTCCACTCAGCCTGATGAAGGAATAATTAAGGCTTACCGAGAGAGCTACCACGTTGACATAGAAGTCGATCAATGTAGCCGACATCCACCTAGACACGTAAGAGGAGCAAATCAAATAATATTCAGATTGTTGATAAAGAGACAAATTCAGCAGAAGGGAACTGTAGTAAACTATGCACTATCAGATTAAATATGCTAGAGAAGAGGCAAGAGATACTTCGTTATTCAATTATGCCGTCCAACTTGGTTATATAAATGAATAGAATGAGCAAAAGTGAATAGTCTAAAATCTTACGGTGTCAACAGCTCTGAGCGGAAAGGAGAACCATCAGTCACAATGGTGTAAATCAGAGTGGCTATCATCACACAGCCCAAAATAGTGAAAACAATTCTTCCAGCAACGACAGGAGAGTGCTTCCCCTTTGGTTCCTCCTGATTCCTAAAGAAAAGGAGTTTCAGCTAAATGAATATTTATAAGGTAAACGAAGAATGCTGAACGATGTGTGGAACACATGCACATGTGTGACTAGATGAAGATAAAGAAGAAGTTCAGATTACATACTTGTTCTCATTCCGCAATAGCACATGGTACATTGGGTCCTGTGCAGTTTCTTGAGGTGACAACTTGAGAAGCTGAATAAAGATATAGGCGCAAGTCGTGATGCTGCAAATGGTGAATTCAAAGAGCAAAACAATAACTTTCTTTGTCAAATCTTCAATAACATAACCCAAGTTCTAATAACAGAAGAGAAACCACAAGAAGTTGAAAGTAGAAAATGAAATCTCGTGCCTCATGCCACCAAGTATCATTTACAAACAATCACAAATGAATGAAAACCTACAGCGAGTGAAGCGTAAGATAAACACAGATCATACGAGCCAACTCCACCATTAAAGCGCTCTAAACTCCTAATCATTCTTACTACACTACTATGTTTAATCACTGAGTTCTACAGGAGATCAATGCTAAATGTAGAACAGCAGTAAACAAATTTACCTGCCAAAGCAGACCAGCAGAATTATCCAAACAACAGAAGATACGAAGCTGGCTTCTTTGTAGACAATCCAAAGCTGAAACGAGAGTTCAAGACTATTAGCTACAATGAAAACTTGATTAATAAAAAAAGGAGGAAATGATTCATCTAAACTGCTCGCAAAGCTACCATCTCATTCTGAAGCACAAAAGCAACGAAAATTGTAGTAAACCGCAACAGTTCGAATTCTAGCACCACCATCCAGTCAAAGAACAAACCATAAGAAGCTAACATCGACGAATTTACAGTGAAGAGGGAAAGGCTAATTTTACCGCCAACGCAAAAATGTTGATGTAGAAATCAACCAAAGTGGCAGCCATCCACCTGCGTAGGCAAGCAAACACGAAATTCAGCCGTCATATATCAGTTAGATTGTGAAGAAAATGGAGTAGAAAAAACGGAAGCAAAACTGAAGAAGCTCGAAAGGCGGCGGGTTGAGTTACGGGGTAAGGAGCTCCTTGCGGAAGGGCGAGCCATCGGTGCAGACAGTGTAGATGACAGTGGCCGAGGACAAGCAGAATAGCGCGAAGAAGAGAGTCCTTAAGCCGGTCACAAGGATCGCCATGGGAGTTCCGGCGGCGGCTGGGAGATCTTCCGAATGTGAACAATTTGGTGTGGTGTCGCCATTAGAGTTGGAGAGCAAGCTTTTTGAATGGTGGAGAGAAGCGTGACGGTTCGTGTTGTGGGCGGGGGCAAGAAACTGTGCGAGGGAAATGCGTCCACGTAGTCCGGCGGCCACACCTCCCCTCGCCTAATTAACGTTAAGTCATTGTATTTTTTGTTTTATCCTGTTTAATCACCGATAATTGTCCAGGATTAAAATTGGCAACCTTGATGACTTTGTAGTCAGAAGCATAAACATAATAATAGCGGCATTGGAGAGCGAAAATATAAAATTTAGGGTATGAAATTTGAATTATTGCACTTATAAGAAAAATTATTCATGTATTGTTTGCATCTACTATCTTTCAAGATTCAAATAATAACACTATATTCAAAACTCAAAGACTTTTGAATCGAATCCCATAAACCCTATATCACTAAAATCCTAAGTTTTAAATTCTTAAACTCTATACCCTAACTGAATTGCTATTCGTCGCCCTAAAATTCAAATTTTATCGCCCTAAAATGCACTAACTAGACATATTTACCCCTCGACTAAAGGACAGATTTTATTATTCCTAAATCTGAAAAGCCGAGAGATTGCTGGGATTTTATTTACCCCATCAATTCTCCATTTCAAAGAACCATCCACCAATATTGCCCGTACTACCACTCTGAATCTGCAACCCAACTTGCCCGTCTTCGTATTATTCCGCCTTGGCTTATCAGGATCTGGGATATATGTTATGCTCCTGCAACCATGGTTGCAATCCATATATATCCGCGGATTCGTTTCTCCCGGATTTCGTTTGATTGTGGACACTATCAAGAAAAAGCCGAGGGATTTTGCTATCTCCTTTGCTGCTTCCCGAGCTTTGTCCTTAGTATCATAAAAACCTGCACTCATGAAGAATTGGGTGTAATCAACTTTGTCACCTTCGTCATCTCGAGAACCACCCTACAAAAAACATACAAAAATGTTCAAACCAATCCACCATTAGTAAATAAAATTTATTTATTTATTATAAACTTTATTTAAATAAGTACTTACCGTATTACTCATACCAAACACCTTATTATAGCAAGGGTGTTGTCAATTGTGTAGCAAACTTCAACAAAGTTGTCTCCCTAATAAAGAATAATATTAGTACAAATTAGAGATAATTTAATCCAAAAATTATATAAATTATGTCCGGATGTGACACTATAAAATCTATATGCAGATTATCAACTGAGTAATAAAAGTAAGTAATGCTAATGGCAATACATCAATAAGCGTAGTCTTTGCTACGATTACAGTGAGTGCAGCAGGCGAGACAAAATTCTATAGCATTCTGAATGCCGACATATACTCAAATGTAGGTAAACTTGTTCAAATTAGATAACATGTCGGAGTTTATTAGACGAAGGCTCTAAGCGCAAGATGCACAGCAGAAATAACTAGCTAGCTAGAATCAGAGGTAGATACTAGATACAAGTTCCAAAACTAAAGCATAGACAGATATTACTACTTCTGCGATTTATCTACACTCTTAATTGCATAGTACTCAATCTTCTTCTTCTTCCTCCCTTTATACATAGTCTGTAGCGCATAAAAACGACAAAGGAAAAAAGCAGCATTAACTCAACAAGAATTAGAACCAAAACTAAAGCATAGACAGATACTAGATACAAGTTCCAAAACTAAAGCATAGACAGATTTTTTTTTTTTACAACGCATAGACAGATATTTACTAACCTCAACTCTCTTCTTCTCCAACTTCTCTGGCGGCGGCTGGAGATATGTCCCAATAATTCCCTAGTTATGTCCATGAAAAGCACCTTTATTTATAATTGTGATATAATGCAGCAATGTTTCCGTGTCCCAGTTGAAAAGGAGTCTGCCGGCCGAATGTTCCGCAGGCTGGCCGAGACAGATTTTTTTTTTTTCCTTTTTCGGTTATAATTTGTTTTGAGGTATGTTTTAAATTAACTTAAGGGCATTATAGTAAAATTAATTTAATTAGGGCGACAAATAAGGATTTTTAGGGCGACGAATAGCAATCCCCTATCCTAAATACCAACACACTAAACTCTAGACTTCAGAGTCCAGATCATAATACTTAACATCATAAACACTTTAAACCCTCATCTAAACCATAGCCTCGAAACCATAATACTCAAAACGCAAAAGCCATCAACCCTAACCCTGAACCCTTTTAAATACTAACACCTTGCACCCGTGATTATTAAGCCCTAATACCTAAAACCTAGAAGTCTAACCCCTGAAAACCTAATCATTAACAAATATTTGTTCTTGAAAATATGTTAAGAATAACATGCGGGGAAAAACACACACTAAGATATGGCTGGAAGGCCTCGACCTAGTTGGTCTTTTTTTTATCTTTGGTCAATCAATGTTGCGTAAGTATCACTTCACATGAGGGGTCACATAGCTTTCAAAACTAATGTGTATTTATCGTATTCTTTTGGGATGATGCATCCCATTTAGGGGTTGTAATTCAGGTTTGCTATGAAGAGATACATTTTGTGCATTATTATGTTTTGATAACTTAATTTTTGGATGTTGATCTTGTACTCATGCTTCTCAGCTATCATCTTTATTATCAAGATTATTTGTGAAAGTGCTACTTGAAATATATTCATAAGTATCAAAGTTAATTGTGTTTACTACCTTGAAAGTTTAATTGTGAAACAAATTTGGCAAAGTCTATTGTAGGAAGAAAGAAAATAAACAATAGAGTCAACCGCGAGGATGTCTAGAAGGGATATTAGCATAGTTTATAATTTATCACCTATTGTTTGGAAAAGAAAAAGAGAAAGTTAAGAGCCATGTAACACACCTAAACTCTCTAATCAAATGATCACTTAGGTAAAAAGTCTCTAATTGAAGCTCAATAACAACTCCGCAATCAAATGATCACTTAAGTAAAAAGACCCAATTGAAGGGTTAACCCAACAAAACTTATTGAGCCTACGCTTCTCAATTTCTCAACATTTTCGCTTGAGCTATTGATAAAAAGTCTTAACAAATATTTACACAATCAACATTTATGCAAAAGCAGAAGCGAACATCTTTATTGGCCTTGTGGTTAATAAAGTAATAATATGGTCGATTCGATAAACCTTGTGGTCGACCTAAAACCTCCACTAAACACCAACTAAGATCATGCGTAGTTTACCGCAAATCAACGTAAATTCTTGGGATTTTTTGTAGGGTTAGACAACATCTTGCATCTTCATACTCTTTGATTGCTAATTTTACCATGTTCATTTGAAACACTACTATGAGCCACAGTTTCGAACAAAACTATATCATCATCTCTGTAACGGATTGACTTACAACAACTCAAACTCATTTTGCTAAATATCATTATCACATACTTGAGGATGCAAGGTGTAGTTTCTCTAGAAGCTTGCATAAGATAATAAGAGTACTATACCTTTTTTCTTAACACGATTTTATTCTTGCAGTTTGACACTTGGATCCGATTTCTAAACAATAGATCCAGTACCTTTTTTTCGAAAGGGCGACAGATGAGAAAAAAAAAGTGCTGCAGCCTGCAAGCAAAAGGTATAAAGCTAAAAGCCAATGGGAAAGTGACCATCTAACTCCAGCAAATAGCAATCAATATTAAATACTAAGATCCATTTGGATCCGATCCTAAAAGGTACTCTACTTAAATACATATTTATGAATATATGGGCATGCTAATTAATTATCTTAAGTGATTATCGACCAAATCAATTGTATAAACCCCAATTTGTTAATTGTTTCTGTACAATGCACATGGCTTTTATCAAACAAGTAGTTCAATAAAAAAGTATCAAACAAGTAATATTCGTCGTTTATAATTATATTTACTTATTACTTTATTAGAAACTGAAATGCATTTGAAAAATAAATTAGGTAGTAAAGTGTAAATAGTAAGGGGGTGGGGGAAATGCAGATCGAAATTGGCGCTCCTTTGTTTTCTACTTTTCTTTTCTTGTCGTCTCCTCCGCCCGTCTTCTTCCCTCTCTCTTCAATTTTTTTTTTCCGTTCGGTTTTCTTGCTGGTTTGGTTTTAGAAAATTAGCAAATCCTCTTGAAATTTGAAAATTCTTTGCCGGACTTCCTCCCTCTCGTCGTTGAACGGCTGCAGCTCGCAAGTACCCCCGTTTAATTCGTTCCGGTTCCGGCCCCATGTCAGTTCGTCGCCGTACTTTGCTCAAGGTCATCGTCCTCGGCGACAGTGGGTACGACATTTCTCTCTCTCTCTCTCTCTAGGGTTTTCAATCTTGGAGTTATTTCCGCTTCTCTTCCTAACGGCCATGGCTAATTCATTTCTCTCCGTTTCTTCTCCTGGAAATGTCAGGGTTGGCAAGACGTCGTTGATGAATCAGTATCCTTTCCATTTTCGTATTTTCGTCTTCTGTCTGCTTCTTCGGTGTCAATACTTGAGATCAGGTTCTTTTGTCTCCATGAATTTTCCGTTGTTCCGAGGCTTTCTTCCTTCAATGTTTTGTTTGGTTTCTGCTTAATTCTCGATAGAGTCGTAATTGTTTGAATCCTAAATTTTTGCTGTGTAATTTTCCCGTTGTGCTGGATGGATAGCTGGAGTTTTGGTTGAATCGAATTTTGGCGGCTAGCTTGAAAAGTACTAGCTCGTAGGGAATTAATAACATTTCAGGAGTTTGTGAAATGGAGTTTCCTGAGCTTGTAATCTAGATATGTGCACAATAAATTCAGCCAGCAGTATAAAGCTACAATCGGTGCGGATTTTGTGACCAAAGAACTCCAGATTGATGACAAGCTTGTCACTCTTCAAGTAGGATTATCATTCCTGACTCTAGTTCTGTGGTCTCACAATTTTGGAGTAGGGTTTGATTAGTTGCTTTTGTTTGATTGTGATGCTGAATTGTTGTGTGTGGATAGATATGGGACACAGCAGGGCAAGAGCGGTTTCAGAGTCTTGGAGTTGCGTTCTACAGAGGAGCAGATTGTTGCGTTCTTGTTTATGATGTTAATGTCATGCGTTCGTTTGATAGTCTTGAGAATTGGCACGATGAATTTCTGAAACAGGTTTCTTCTTCTCCCCCTCCCCCTATTGTTCTTCTTCCTCTGTTGCTGTTGTGGTTCATGTTAGCTTATTCTTAAGATTCTTCATGTTAGCGTTGATACAAAGCGTTACAAGATTTTTGTCAACCAGTCACTTAGTCAATGATAGAGCTTGAGTAGCACTATCCTCCCATCACTAGCATATGAGAAATATCATTTTGTGGAAGCTGCAACGGGACTGTACTAATCCGAAATGTTGGATTCAATGCTCAGTTTAAACTAGAATAGTCATGATTCTCTCAAGTTCAATGGCAGATGGTTGAGTCGCCTAATAGGTTTATGATCTTTTAATGGATCAGAATCAATAACAAATACTGTGATATGCACATGGAAAACACTCAAATTCTGAAGCTTTCATTAGTCTTGACATAATTTGGTCAGTTTGAAAATCCCACTTTCCAAGTCATGTGACAGCTTTATAATAAGGCTCTTGTCAAACACATTGCATTTATGAGATGCCATTTACTTGCCAAACATTATGATAGCAGGATTGAGGTAATAAAACTGTAAATGTTGATGTTTATCTTTGTTTTATCAGATCCTGCTACTGTTGCACCTTTAGCTATGGTGCTCTCGTTTTTCTACTAAAGGTTTTGCTCAAATGCTTCAAAGTGAAGGAAATAATTTTTTATCCTAATAAGTGGCATGATCATCATCATTGTCCCAGGCAAACCCAGCTGATCCAAAGTCATTTCCTTTTATATTGCTCGGAAACAAGATTGATGTAGATGGTGGAAATAGCCGAGTGGTAAGGACAAACTGTTATTTCTTTCTGCTGGTTAAATTTGTCTCTTGCATATTTGTCTAATTGCTGGCATATGTAGGTTTCTGAAAAGAAAGCAAAGGAATGGTGTGCTGCAAAAGGAAACATACCTTACTTTGAGACATCAGCAAAAGAGGACTACAACGTCGACCCAGCATTTTTATGCATCGCTAAAGCTGCTTTGGCCAATGAGCATGAACAAGACATGTAAGTTTCAGAGCTTTCCTCATTACCTGCCTGCATCACATAGTCATCATGTGTGTCTGTAGTATAGACCTAGCTAACAAAGAATGATTAAGGAAACTAGAAATTGGTTCTTTTATGGGTTGTCGAATTTCGTGAACAAACTACTGACAGAACCATGCAAAAGAAAGAATAACTTTCAGATTGGGTATTTGGGGAACTAAAGTTTTGAGACTCACTATGGAACTTATAAATATAATCGACAAGAACAAAATTTCCACTGATGGGTGGGTCTCTACACAATCTCTGCTTTGCTTGTGTTAAATTATATTTGCCCCAGGGGCCAGGTCCCTTATTGCGTAGGCGTAGTATCCATTTTTGTCTACGTGGGACTATTGTCGGTAGACCAAGAGTGAGAAATATTTAGAAGTTAATTGTTGATAGAGAAAAGTTTGGTGGAAACTGATACTTTTCCCTGATCTCCATAAACCCGTGAAGATGGATATATTTTCTGCTAGGTTGCCACTTGCCAGCAAGCTTTTGGTTTAAGAGTTACTAGAAAGTAGAAACTTCCTTGCTGCTTCAGATAATATGGGCCAGCTGCTTTGACATTCACTATGTTCTCAGACCTCTACATAGTCTTGCAAACGAATGAAGTGTACCATGAACACCCAACTTTAGTTCTTTAGATGTAGCTTCAACGGCTAGAGCTAACTTGTGAAAATGCTGTGGTGTTGAACAAGTTATGTTGAGTTAATCATGCTTAACCTGGAACGAACAAGGGCTTGGTCAAGTGGAAATACCACTAGCCTAGAACCTGGAGGTCCCAGGTTCGAATCCCTTAAGTAGTACCTTAATAACAACAAAATAAAACCTATATCACCCTTATAAAAAAAAAAAAAAAATCATGCTTAACCTGGAATTGTGCCGGCTAGTTGGTCAGCAGTTTCTAGGTTCTACCACCCCATATGGAAATGGAAAAAAATCATTAGTAATTGTTATTCTGAAAATTTGAATCTTCTGAACTGTACATCTTAGCTTGACGAGAACTATAATCAAGTTCAACCCTTATGCATTATTCATTAAGAGGATCATTATGAAACTTTGTGTAGTTCCTTTGACTTTGACTTTGAGATTGAGAATTTGAATTTGATATAGCAACTGATGATGGTATGATACTCATGACTGTTTTTTTCATCATTGTTTCGTTTCATTTTTTCTTCTTCCTTCTTCAGATACTTCCAGAGCATACCAGATGCGGTCCCTGAAAGCGAGCAGCGTGGTGGTTGTGCCTGTTGATTTCATTTCTCTCTCACTCGGTTGATGCCCCCTTCTGACCAAATCTCCTCTGTAGTGCTTATACTTGTTCGTGATTGATTGAATCATTTTGGTGTACCCCAAAAGCTAAAAATAGGAAGAGAACAGCTGCTAATTTTGTAGCCTCTTCTTCTGAGGAAACATCCCACGCCAAACTGTCCAAGATTGAGATGGATTGTCATCTGATGGGAAGCTCTAGTCTTTTCCTTGCTCTTTCTCCTCTTCCCCCTTCATTTTTCGGGGGTTTAGACGAGACTTTATTATGCCAGTACTGTAAAATTTCGCCTTCTGTAGGATTTTGTTCCAGTGTTGCTAGTTGTTGACATTTTTGTTGGATTTCATGACTCTAAGATCTGCCTTTGTAAGTCTTTGTGATATTGTGGTGTTGGCTATTTTTTGCACCTTGGGCTCATGTGTTGAAGTGTACCAATAAATAAGTGATGTCTTGTTTGTAAGGGAAAATCTTTTGGCAATAAGATCTAGTTAAGATCTGTGGGTTAACAGGTTCGAATTAGCGTTGGAACCTTGCAATTTTAGGTGGTTAAGGTCTGGTCCAACCCAATATCCGCTAAAGTAGAGGAATAGGTTTGAACCGACCGAGAGTGTGTCCAATATTATTCAGTTCTAATCCTATGGAAACTGAAACTCAGCCAGTTTTTTCTTTGCTTTTCCCCCCTTCAAGATCCACAATCTTGAAACTCTATTGAACTGCATAAGCTCGATTCGGTTTGATCCAAAAATCAATTCAACCTAATCGAACATCGAATCTTGAACTTAAACAGCATAGGATGACAATGCAACATAGACTCACAGCATTGGATCACATGAAATTCTTAACAAAAGCTCATCAACTGCTAAACAAGCTTACACAGTCATCAAGTGTGATCTATTCCAGGTCCAAGATGTTATAGCCTCGGGAGATAAGAGGAAGATTTTGACATTCAGAGAGAAATTCCTCTTTCCAGGAGAAAACAAATTCTTTTTCTATATAAAAGCTGGCTACGCTTTTTGCTCTATCTTTTTGGTTACTGTTTCAGTTCCTGTCTTTTAGTGCCGATTCGTGGAAGGTTTCGACTACCAGCTTCCCAAATCAACCCTTCCCAGCGGTCGTGGGATCTGACGGTGCTGACCTACTGACATTCCCCTCAGTCCAGCAGACGGCCATTCCTTCCCTTGCCATCCGTACTCGCAGCAGCTGAACTGACCTCTCTATTGCGTCCTGTCGTCCTTTCACCGGTTACTTTGCCATTAGCGTGCTACGAAGTCATGCCTGCTGCTACACGCCATCGTTGGAAAGGACTCTTTCAGTCACAGCAGCGCCCATGCTTCTTACAGCCCTTCCCCTCCTCGGTCGATTGGGAACTCCGTCTCTGTACTGCCTCTGCAACCCACTTCAGCACGCCAAGACCCTAGGCCACCTCTCCCCTCCATTCCTCTTTCCCAAACCCAATCCCGCATTCCATCCTCGGACGGCAGAGTGAGGAGCGAACCCCTCACCTCGAGATCGGTTTTGCATCACAAACCTGTCGATTCTTTCCTCCACTGGTTATTCCCAACCTTCGTGTCCGCTACGGCCAACGGTGATGGTCGATTCCTGTTTGTAGTTGCCTGAACAAAAAGGATGACAGCGGCAATAACGAGCTCTTGATTTTGCCTGCACCAGGGCCAATATGAAGCAATCAAACGAGGAGCTCAAAATCCCACTGACAGGTATGCTTTTGGTTTCCTCTGTTTCGTACTTGGTTCCTTTTACGTTCTCGATTCTCTTACTCATCTTCTTTCCTCCCATCTCCAAGGACTGCTTTATACCTTGACAGATCCAATGTTCGTTCGTTGGTGTTCCTTTGTGCAAAATCAGATGCTTTGAACTTGAGATTGCACCGATGAACAGTTGGTTTACACAGCTCAAGGACAAGTATGACGAATTATGGTGCAGAAATGTGGCATGTTTGATCTCTTTTCTAGAAACCAAGGTATTACTTGGAAGCTTTTTCCTTGGTAGCTCATGATCTCCTATTTGCTTTTGTTTGGCCTGTATCTTGGTATTTGATGCTTGAAAGTTGTAACTCTTATACTTGGATGGGATGTAAGCAAGTTTCCTATTTTTTTATGCAGTAGGTTGTGCGAGGATTCAGTGAAATGCTCAACTTCATATACAAATGATGGGATTGTAGGTACAGACCTTCTGAAGGATGAAATAGTTTCTGAACAACTAACCAGGTGAGTTACCCTGGGTGTACTAAAACTATTGTCCAAGCTGAGAGAAAAGTTCCAAGCTTTTGTTGCTTTCTTGACTTCTACTTGCTGGATGCTTTGTCTTATTCTTTGCCATATTGTTGTATCCAGATTGCAATGGTAGTGTTGATTTGCTCACCAACCCAAATTACATTTCTTGGCTGATGAAGATGGAGAGCCGACAACAAGAAGCAATGGTTTCCTTTCCTGGATACATTCAGATCTTAGGTTGGGGGTGACAGGTGCAGTTTTGGAGGCAATGACACAGTATATGATGGAGTAGAGGAAAGACAGGCCAGGACCGCTATGCTCTTCGTTTCAATTATGGAAGCATAGAAAAGGTTTGTGGCAGATTGATTCCACTTTGCCTCTACATTTAGAAACTTCTGCAAGAACATTGTATGATCCCTCCGCTGTTTCTTTGAATTGTTGATTATTTAATGACGAGTACATATAATTTCTTCATCGTAGGATTTTGCAGAGCTACTTACATCAGTGGGATCATTGGACTTATGTGGTTGCAAACAGCAAACAATTCCTTATTGTTCAGGTGACATAAGTGGCTCTATCTATTATTTGATCGCAAGAATATACAATTTGTTAAACTGTGATAGTACCAGCAACTAGGTCTCCAAATGAAAAAGAGGGAAGGTTACAGGAAGAGAGAGGTGCCAGATGAGAAGAGAAATATGCAAAGTATGCTCATGGTGATTGTGGATGTTGAGGCCTTATAGGTGTCTGGGTTTGTGATCCAGATTTATGTGGACTTTCACTTACTTTCAGCATGATTATTATGCTTTATCTTTGCATAGCAAGGCTACTTTATTTGCATCAACTGAATCAACTGAAGATCATGGTTTAAATGAGAGTTTGCTCACATGAGTCTGACGTGATTAAAATTGTTGCGCTCTAGCCTTGCCAGTGAAATAATTTGGTTTCAGGCTTTGAGAAATGCTAATTGTGATACTGCAGGCTGCTCAGGATGAGAATGGCTCACAGAATGGATGCTCACTTCGAAGAAGTGCAGGTTCGAAGTTCTCTCACATGATTAAAGAAGCAAAGCTGGGATCAGCAACAAAAACTTCCCTTTGATGCCAAAACCCTGTTTCCAGATTCTGATGATAACAGGTCTGCCCTGTTCCTGCATTCCTCATGCAACTATGCTTTCCAAGTCACAAGTTAGAATTTCAGGGTAGGAATTTGGAACATTTCTTTCTCAAAAGTTGATTCGCTAATAGCACATGTTGATTGTTGACAAGGAGCATGCTTCTGCAGCTGAGAATGAAAAGAATTATCTTGCGTTGAAGAACAAGCTTTGTGAAGTGAGACTAGAATCTGTAACCTTTAGTTGTCCTATACTTTCACAATGCAAGAAACACAGTCTTATTCTGCATCTGTTTCCTTTTTTTGTTTTGTTTTTTGTTTTTTGTTTTTTTTTGTCACAGGGGTCTCAAGTTCATCAGCAAGGCCGACGACAGCTCTGAATGGCTTGCTGTTACAAAGACACAGCCTTATTCTGCTTCTCTCCTTCACCCTCAAATAATGTTAGGCAATCCCATCTGCAATTCATGCCTGTATGAGAGCTCAGAAGAGCCTCCATGTAGGCAAAGGTCATTCTTTCGACTCCCCATCCAATAAAATTCCTCTTAATGCAGAACACGAATTTAAATTCAACTGTGAAGATCTTTATGCATCTTCCATGAAAATGTGTTTTTAGTTTTATATGAAGATCTTTATTGGGGTTACAACTAATGGTTTCTCATATGAAAATGTCACGTTCTCTTACGGGGTTACTGGTAATAGTTTTTGGGGTGATGATGGCAGTCAAGATTTATGCGAATTTTGATTTGGCTCACAAGCTATGTGCCTCTTTTATGCTGCCTCCTCAGGTTTTCTTTCCCTTTTTATAGCTGTTTAGACTAGAGTTTGAACTTAAAGACTGAACTCTCTACTCTCTATCTGTTTAATAGGGGTGGTGGGATTCCTCTGTCACTGGTAATTGGAGATGGGTGTCTCAAACTTTCGAATGGCTTTGTACCTAACATGTTGTCTAACTTGCTCAATTTTGAAGGCACTAAAGACAGATTGTAAAAATCCAGCATTATTGGTTGACCATGCTTTGTAGAGATCACGAGAAGCAAAACAAGCAACCATCTACAGTCGCCTACATGGAGACTTGGAGAGGGTCAAAGAGATTACAAAAAGCCGCCGGAACAAGATGGTGACATAGAGCGGATATTCAGAGAAACTAGGGAATTGCAGTTGGAGAACAACTCTATTCAAGAACCCAATCATGTTCAACATGGAAAAAAAAAAATTTAGTTGCCAGTCAGATTAGGTGGTGGGAATGGAAGTTTGATTTGATGAAAAGCTTATATTGTGAACCATGATGTTTGATATTAGATAGATTCATAGTCAATGGAAATATATTGTTGGGGATCACGTTGGTAGAGACATCTAATGTTATAGGATGGATTTTAGTTTTCATTACAGATCAAGCTATTGCAGGAAGCACTTTTTAGCTTTGGTACGAGTGTACTAAACATTGTGTTCAATCTTATCAGTTATATTACTTAGCTTACTAAATTGGATTTACATGGGTTTTAAAGAGAACAGTTTGTTGTAGTTCAATGTGCTTTGACTTATGTTTTGTAAGACATCATTATGATTAAGAGTTTAAATGTGTCTTAGCTTTTTAGAATGTTCAAATTTTGTAATGATACATATTATACGTGTTTGCTTATATGATTTTGTAACTATTGCATGTTCTACGTACATGACTTCTAAAAGATACTAGACATGACTTGAAATGCCACTGCTGAACACTTCATGCGGACACAATTAAATCTCCCGCGGCGTAGCCGTGGGTATTGATACTAGTACAGGAGAAAAAGAGGATAGTGTATCAAGTGTATGAACAACCAGGGTGCGCAAGCAAGGATGTTTACTCATCATCCTTGTATGGGTACTCTTCTGGAACTTGTTTTATAAGTTTCACCTGCAACTCAAACACGTCGTCGCCCCGAAGCACGTCACGGAGCCACGTGACTTCTGTTTTCATGGATACCTGAAGATAATGGAACACTGAGGATCAATACAATGAACGAAAACCAAATGCACGAGAGGCAGGTTCGAAATAAACCACAAATCGACCATTGTTGACTAATCCACAAAATGTTAGAATAGACAGTAACAAGCGAATTGATCACCAGTAAAGATAACCCTCCAGAGGGACAAATCAGTGCAACTGTCTCATGACTCAGTAATGTGTTTATCGAAAGAAATTTTTTCATCCCACTAGTTGGAAAGCCGAAAAGAAATCAGTCATCTGTGTCAAATGTGCGGCTTCGCAGTTTAAACTACAGCATTGAATTTGGGTCATTCACACATGAACAATGGGGATTAACCTGTAAAAGAAAGCTGGTAGTAACTGGCTGGATGAAAACATTTGGCAAAATTTCTGATGACAATAATCAACATTAAATAGAATTATGCATACAAACCGGTTCTTGTGCAATGGAACCGCTTATCAAAATGTTCCCAGCTAAACTATACCCTTCAAGAGCCATGGTGCTAACTTCAAATTATCAGAGTGTTTTAACATATAAAAACATCGTATGCGAGAGGGAGAGAGCTCAACAGACTAAGCCCGGGAGATAGGCATGGGAGGGTGCACTAACCATTTCTAGGGCTCCTCTGATGACACCGCTCAAAACGTTGCAGTAGTAAAGGCCTTGACAAGTATCAGGAAGTTCAACAAAGTCCACTAGAGGATTATCTTCCAAAACGATACTGCAGCATGTTCCTTCAGCATCCCAGTTGGTAACTGAAGCACCAACCCCAAGGAACATCTTAAAGCCCACCTGTAAAAAAAGTCAATTTATCAGCAAATGTGTCTATGTCCAACAACTGTGAAGTCATAAAATTTGGAACCTCTTTCACTGTTACTACCACAAAGAGTAGGGTGCCCAAAGCACATTTCTTTCACACTTGAACATAAAAGGAAAGAGAGAAGAGAAGATAAGAAAAGGAAACCTAGACTATATGAATTATGCAGTCAAGGAACAACTACTCAGAACTGTACACAATATGGATTCAGTATGCTAAAGACTGAATTTTAAGGTATTCCAGACGGTTCCTTAACAAAGAAAATCTGAGAAAAGTTATTGCTTACTGTTTGCACTACACAGCACCAAGGTATGCCTTCACTAGAATAAGGAAATCGAAAAAGCAGAAGTTCTGAAATAAGAAAGTATATAGCCAGAAGCCTGATCTCATATCTGATCGAAGTATCAAGGCATATAGATGTTGATGCAGATTATATGTTAGTCTTATTGAATAGACGTAAAAGGTTCTACAAAGTTTAGACCAGAGTAAACCCACAATGAACAGGTATTTTTGGTCTATCCAAAAGCAATTTACTTGGAGCTAGCTAGGACAGATATCTGGGGCAATCCTGCTTCTATACATAACATTTACACACTCTAGCTAGGACAGATATTACTGGAAATATCACTAACCTTCGCAATTACTTCAGTTGTCTCCTTGAAGTCCGTACATCTAGAGACATTAGATTTTGCTAGAAACTCATCGATCAGGCGAATCCCAATGTTATAGCCCCTAACAGCATATCAAGCATCCAAAAAACTAGAGTCAGTTTTCTCAAACAGATAATCACTACCCTCTTCCCAGTTTCCATACTTGACCACATTTTCAATTGCACAAGTATGCTTGTTTAAAATATAAGAGCTTTTAGAATTGTTCACAACAGCAACAACCACTTAAAGGTAACTAGAATTTTTTTACCTTGAGAGCGCCACCGAAAGACACATTTCCAAATTCATCTTTAGCTCAATAGTCCAAGTAACCAGATCACAAAAAATCAAGCTCTAAAATCATTCTTTTTGAAATGGGGTTTCGTCTAACAAAACGTTCTTACTTAAAGCCTTACATTTGGTCCAGCTGCTTATTGACCTCATCAACCTCCTCCAAATCTGTCAGCAACTGCCGCACAATCGCTCCATACGTTAGCGTGAAAAGCTCCGCATTCTACACGGAGTCACATTTCAACACAATCAGCGTCACAACTAAATGAGAATCGGGCCATGAAACAGTAAAGAGCCAACATTTCTTCAGTACCCATTCCAATTCCAACAGAAAATGACGAGGAAATACACTGGTGGTAAAGATTAGAAAACCCCTCAGTCTCCGGGGAAATACAGAGTGAAATCTGAGAAATGGAAACCCTCCGGAATCCGAAACCCACTGGATCGATCACATACAACCTATATTGCAAATTCCCAGTTTGGTATCTGAGAAAATGGGGTCGGAAAAGAAGGAAATTAACATTACCACGCGCTCGACGCTAGCGAAGATTGCATCGCCGGATCGGGGGCCAGCGGGAGCCATTTTGATGATGGAGAAATCGCCGCCGGTGAGAGAACTGTCAAGAATGAAGCGAGAAGAGCAGAGCGGAGCGGAGTTTCGTGCTTTGGCTATGTCGTTCCGGGGACTGTGACAATGTGAGATACGAAAAAGAACTGGTGGAGTTCTTGCTGTTAGATCCTTTCTTCAACTTGGGCTTTCAAAGCCCAAAGTCTTATTTGCATCCATTCAATGGGCCCAAATTCGAGATATGTAAAAACAGCGAGCCTTCAAAGTTCGAACCATAAAAAAAAAAAACTAGTCGTCTCGTCGGCTCTTCGTCTTGGCCTCTTGTGCGTTTCTCCATCGCTAAAACTCTAACATTGGGAGCTCGCATCATCAGAGAGCTATGGCGGAAGAAGAAACAGTTACGTCTTTGAAGTCTGAAATAGCTACTTTACGAGCCAGAGTAAACGTAAGCCAGTTTCTCTCTTACTGCTTATCGTTTCTGTTAATGGCAATTCGTTTCTGTATCCTTCTGATTTTTTTTTGGTCTTGCTGCTTGTTCCAGGAACTGGAAGCGGAGAATGCCGAATTGGCTGCACGAATGGCCAATTGTTGCTGTGATCAGGTTCGTGATACTGCGCATTCTGCGCTTTCATTGTCTGTCTTTTTCCTTATTGTTGGTCGTTGTTGTTGTTGGCATTCTGTCGAGCACTTTATGGGGAAGTTTCAAATGGAATTGTGTGTAAGAACTTGCGTGTACCAGTTCATATTTTATCCGTTTCTTCAAATTCATGCTTAGCCTTTTGCTGTGGGGTTTTGATTGTTGATATTCAGTGGGTTGGATGTAGAAAGGGGCACAACAGCTTGGTGAGTCGGAAGTGGAGTGCAGAAGCTCACTAGAGCCCAGTGGGGAAAGAAATTCAGGAGGTGCAGAAACAAAGAAGACCAGAAGAAAGAAAAGAGTAGCAGAAATTTCAAGTAAGTAAACTCTTGTGTCTCTTCTCTCTAGTCTGTTTATTTGTGTTTTGAATGCTGTTAGCTGATTCCTTGCTCTAGTGTTGCCCTTCTGCTTCCTGACAACACTGTCATTCGGTACAGGTTATGACTCAAGGACCGTGAGTCACTGCCCAAGGAGATATGTTGCCTTAAAAGTTATGTATTTTGGTCCAAGGTACTACGAGACTTGGTGCTCTTTTCTTTGCTTAAATTTTTCAAGGCAGTGAGTACAGAATTTCTCAGGCAACCGAAAAAGAATCTCATCCCCCCCCCCCCCCCCCCCCCCCCCCCCCCACCCCCACTCTCTATTATATATTAGTGTCTATAACCGTGATAATTTGGGAACTAGAGTGTCCTTTTCCGGTTGCTGATTTAGATGATGAATTCTCAAGAGTTTATTTCTTCCAGGTTTTATGGTTTTGCATCGGAGGCACAAATGGAACCAACCGTTGAGGTAGGCGGCTATATTTGCTATTGTGTGTCTATCGCTTTCTTTCTGCCACCTAGTTGTTTTAGGTTTTTGTAATTCAATATAATTTTTTTTGAATATTTGAAAGAAGATTAGGATTTATGAGATGATCCTTGTTGATGGAAAGGTCACTTGGTCGTCCTCCACTTAAAGTTATGAGTTTGTGATTTGCGAACTTAATTAAAGGCAGATTAGTGTTTTCATGGTTTAGTCAACAAATTAATTTTCTGGGGTATCTATATAAGCTGATAATTCCTCTCAATAACGAATTTCCTCAAGTAACTTGAGTTCCTCTCCTAGTCAGAGATTTTCAAAGCTCTTGAGAAGACAAGGCTTTTAGTTACTAACAAGAAGGAAGCACAGTATTCCCGGTGTGGTCGAACTGACAAAGGAGTATCTGCTGTTGGACAGGTGTGTTTTCCGCCAAAGGAATCGGTTGGGAGTTATATTTTCCTGCTTTGGCCATTTTTCTGTCCTGAACTTGTAATCTGCATCTTTCTACTAGTTTATAGTATTTTTGTAGTTGTGCTCACTAGAAGTTATCGGTATGGAGACATTGAATATAGAAAAATTCATCACTGGGATTGTATCTCATAATATGTGGCTTTGCATCGAAACTTTGAAGCACATTAGTGAATTTAATATCATTGCTGCAATTTTTTCTCATTTCATGATTGTCATTGTAGATGTAGAGTTCTCTTAGGAAATTTTCATCTTGGTGAGTCCACTTAGACTTCACTTAGGACTGGTAGATGCTTGAACTTGCACATTGGATCTGTTGTTTCAGACAGATTAACTCCTTCATTCTCATAAGAACTTTGGGCAGTTGAGAGCTGTCAAGCCTGTAATCCTTTGCTCAAACTTTACCAATCAAAGACATTTCATGTCCATCTATAGCACATCATAAATCATAATAGTCCCACGTTGGAGCTTTTGATTAAGTTAAAAAGTATATTCCAGACTCAGGCATACAAAATTGAAGTAGACCAAGATAACAGTTCAATTCGTAAGGTCGATGCATTAGCTGATATTACATGCATGAGCAAGACATAGTTGATGTTGTTGTGAACTCATTGTCATACAGATTTTATTCACATTAATCTGATAGTTTACATAAAACCCTTAAAGATAGCCAACTATTGAACCTTGATTAGAGCTAAGAGCCATTATGCAGTAATTATATATTGGGTTGCCTATACCAACCTGGACAGATTTAAGAACACAGAAGTAGAAAATTTTGGACAAAGTCCTTAATCCAATGCCATAGTATATGAAATAACTTCATCTTCTACCAAAACAAAACTCCAGTTTAAGCTGCCAAAGAAAAGGTTATTTGTTAATTGTTAATCTCAAGGTTTGATCATATAAACTATCAACAACTGATGAAGTTCGTAAAATAGCTTGCTTTGCTGTTTGTTCCACTATGCTGTATTTTCTTGGCTAGAAAAAAAATCAAAGAACGTTAAATATGATTGAATGCAGGTTATTGCTCTGTTCTTACGGTCAAAACTTCGCCACCTTAACTCAAACACCTCAGATTCAAGGGAAAATTTTGTTGACGGACAAAATGGTACAGCTAACTTTTTCATGTGAGCAATAGTTTTTAGTTTGTTCTCTTGAGAGACTTGATGGTCGTATGCTTTCAAAGTAATTTACTAACCCCATTACCTTTGCTTCAAATTCAGAAGAGGAAATTGATTATGTACGAGTATTGAATCGGGCACTTCCGCGAGACATTCGAATTTTTGGCTGGTGTCCTGTTCCAGTTGATTTCCATGCAAGGTTCAGGACATATGCTTTAAAAGTACCATGCTCGCTGGTACTTTCTCGAAACGGGATTGTTTAGTCATCCTTTTTATCTTTTCATTATAAATCATGGTGCAGGTTCAGCTGTTTGGGCAGAGGGTACAAATATTTGTTTTGGAGTGGCACACTGGATCTTCAGGTGCGCAAACACTTTGCATCAAGTACATGATTTTCATGGTCTGTGTATGAAACGTAAGGTATTCGATCAATTCTTATGCCATTTGGTGCAGGCTATGGAGACGGCTGGTAAGAAATTTGTTGGGGAGCATGACTACAGGAACTTCTGTAAGATGGATGCAGCCAATGTGCACAACTATGTGCGGCGCATAGACTCGTTTGAAATTTCTCCTTCTGATTTGAGGTTGGATATCTTCTATTCTGGTTGCATTGGTCCTTTATGACCACTGAATGACTAGGCAAAGTGAATGGTGGCTAAATTCCCCACAAGGATTTGGACTCTACAGCCTTATTAAAAAAAACTAAAAGAAAAACAAGCATTGGGAATTTTACTGGTAGTGTAAGGAAAGTGTGGGACAAAGGAACTTCTTGGACCAATGGTACTGCATGAGTGGCTCGAAACCTGCATTCTTCAATCACAAATAAGTAAAATTGAAGCGCCACCGTTCTTAGGCAATCAATTCTTTTGGAGAAAAACCAGACCTGGTAAACGTTTTGAAGAGGAATTCTCTTCCAACTTCTTTCTTATAATTATTTTTAGGAAATGATATATTCTGTTCACTTACAGGTTTCAAGGTAATCAACTCTTTGCAATCAAAATCAAAGGCAGTGCTTTCCTGTGGCACCAAGTCCGGTGCATAGTTGCTGTGCTTTTTATGGTTGGTGAGGGACTTGAATCTCCAGATGTGAGTACTGGGTGAACACCTAAGTGTGTCAATCTTTGTTCGTTAATTAGCTGTTCAAAATATACTATGTTGCCTCTATGGGATAATATATCACAACAAACCATGTAGTTTATGCCTTTTTCTTCATCGTTTATACATGCACACAACGATTCAATAAAGTTCTGCTAGATGAGCGTAAGATAGTGATGACATAATATGGGAAATGCCTTGGGTTCTTGGAAAAGCTCAAGTAGATTAATCTGGTTCCTCTATTAGCAGTTGCAGTAGAGATAATATAGCTTGTTTCAAATATTTTTTTAATTTCAGGTGGGGATATAATGGAGGCCTCCCTATGATTTTCTTGTTATACAGTAGAAAGTTTTGCGAATGTAGTAGGTGAGCTAGAATTATCCTGACCATTTGTGACGTAAAATGAAGAAACCCTTAAAAATGAAGCGTCTTCTGCCTAGCAGATTAAGATGTAGTGTTTGGATGGATGCATACTTGTGTTGGTTTATTGATCAAAATGTTATCATCATTTCTCGTACTTCTTTTTTTTACCCCCTTGATGGAGTTCTGCCTTTGTGGAAAGTTGGTGTTCCTGTGTTAAGAGAAACTCACGAACTCGTTTTATTGTTCAGCTGGTAGATACATTGCTTGATACGAGCAGGACAACAAGAAAGCCTCAGTATGCCATGGCTTCAGAAATCCCATTGATTCTGTCTTCTTGTGATTTTGAAGGCCTCAAGTTTACTTGTTCATCAGGTACATGAAATGCCATAAAAATACAGTTCCTATTTGCTTGGGGAATATAACTATAGAAGGTTGCACTGATATGGTAGATGATGTCATCATTGCATAGTACAAGCATAAAAAGAAAAATGGGGTTAGTTTAAGAAGTTAATTTGGAAAATCTTACTTCCATCGACCTGGTATCGTCTTTTTTTTTTTTTTTTGTCTCGCCTGATATTGTCGACTTTGGATAGAGTTTTTCATTTCATATTCCTAAAAGTTCTTCCTTAATATTCAGATTGAGAAAAACTTCTGCTTTTAGTTGTAGGTCGATACAAAAAACACATTACATTCTTGTTAACGTGTTCAGAGAGCTGTCAATCTTAATGTCTTGATGCAACTCTTGGCACATGACATCCGTTTTGCAGTTGCCGAGCAGGATCTTTCTGTGCACTTGGGAAATGAATGCAGAACCTACCAACTTCAAGCTGCTATCTATAACGAGGCTATGTTGAGCTGTATGCGCCCAACAGGTACTGCATATCCCTCACTCTGGTTTTGTCTGTTCATCTTCCTTCCAGTCTAAATGTGAATGTTGCCTGTTTCTGCTTACTTTAATGATCATAACGTAAACCGAAATTTTCAGATAAGCACAACGGGGAAAGCTTTGTGAAAATCAGAGGGAAAGCTTCCCATATTCCTTTGATGTCGAGACCAACAGAACGTAAGTCAGCCCCCCTCTTGAAACATTTGGCAGATTCAACAACATAAAGACCTGCGATTATGTTTTCGTTGATATGTCTCTGATCAGACCTTTACTTCGGGTGCCTTATTCGATGTAGCATCATACGAGGAGCGACATGCTAAGTTGAAACTTCGGGATGCAGGAGGGAGTTAACATTTTTTATTGGCTACTGTCCCTTCAGCTAGATGCTGTCCTGATCATTCAATGCAGAACCCAGAAGAAATCGACACATTCGACGCGTTGCAGCTTTATACGTTCCCCTCAGACCGCCTTTGGCGTTGTTTACCGGTCCACTTGCTGCACTGTTGTACACTGAGATACGAGTTCTCGTTAGTAGTTCATGGATACTAGAGATTGTTAGACGGCAACATAGTGTGGTGTTGTAATGTTGTGGAAGTGGAATGTCTGTTCCCTAGCGTCCAGGAGGTACAACCGGAGATGATCCGTGGTAGAGAACTTTGATTTGGCTAACTCGACCCATCGGGTCGCGTAGATCACTAACAAATCGATTAATAACATTCAACTTTTATAATCAATTACGTTTTCTTTATCAACGCATCGATCATTAGTCTTCACATCATCAACGTAATCTAACTTTTGATAATGTCATCTATCCTTTTGTCACTCAAAACCAAATTAAATTCAACTTCATGCAAGCAAATCCATTGCTCTTACCTCTGATGAATTATTGGGTCGGATTGGTTTTGTTTGGGTTTCGTGAACCAACCCCAACTTCAATCACCCGGGTTGGGTTAACCATCCGGGGTGGAAAAGGTTCGGTCCGGCGGCAAAGTTGCGTTAGTTTCAAGACTTTCGGGCAGGTTCCGTTAAACCCTGTCTCCGTTCCTCAAAAACCCTACGCAATTCATCTCCCAGCCTGCATCCTCCTTTCTCCTTCCCCACTCTCTCTCTATCTATCTCCCTTCGCCGCCTCGTGCTCCTTCCGATAGGAACCGCCGGACGTTCAATCGCCGTTCCTCTATCGCCGCCGTCCGAATCCTTATGGTTAATTTCCAATCCCTGCTCTTTTTTCGCTCCTTATTTTACATATCGATGCTATAACCCTTTCTTTCCCTCTTCCACTTTGCTTCTAGGTCAGTGGAATGGAGCTGACCAGAATGGCTGCTAACCACCTACTCCGCACCCGCCTCTTCGTCCGATTCATGGGCGGCGGGCCGCGCACCTTCCCCGGCGGATTGAACAAGTGGCAGTGGAAGCGCCTCCACGAGAAGAAGGCTTCGGAGAAGGAGAAGCGCCTCCTCGACCAAGAGAAGCAGCTCTACCAGGCCAGAATCCGGTCCTCAATCCGCGCCAAACTAGCCGATAACCCACCGCCCAACAACGATTCGTCGTCTTCCAATTACAATCCCATGGCTCCGAAAGACCAAATCAAGGCCCTCGCCGATCGTTTCATGAAGGAAGGAGCCGAGGATTTGTGGAATGAGGATGATGGCCCTTTGAAACCGACGCCTCCAGGATCTAATGAAAGACGAGCAGGCTCGACTGCGGCGGCAGCGTCATTGAACCACGAACAGGATTACTGGAATTCAGCCGTTGATTTGAGACAATTGATGACGGAGTCCCAAGAGGAGTTTTAACTTTTAATCCTCTGGTCATCAGTTCTCCGGTAAAGGTGGCAACTTGAGGTGTTTTGGATTCGAACAGTACTCTTTGAGGCAAACTCTAAATCCCCATGGACAGACAACTCTATGTGGTTAGTTGCTTGATTGTGAGACGAACTGGTGGATTGTGGTATTAGAGAAATTCGAAGATTTGGGTACCGGGTGGAATTAAAAGATGTGTATTGTTGATATGTGTGTGATTTTAGGAGAATGCAAGATTGAGAATGAATGAGATCTACAATTCGAGATGTTCATCGGTGAAATTATAGTTTTCTTTCAGGTGATGGAATCACGATTACCTAATTCCATCGAATGCAAGGTTGAGAAGGATTATGGCCTCTCGATTCCATTTATGCTTAGCACCTTTGCCAGTACGTGAGAAGTAGTGAATGGATGATCCTGAGAGGTCTTTCTATGTCATATTGGAGTTTTTTCCATGGCTTTGTGCAAGATTATGTAATGACTCTGGGCAGAAGAAGGGGGCCGGATAGCATAACAACAGTCCTTATGTTGTTACTTGTTAGTATAACAACAAGGGTATAAGGGTAAATTGCACAAGATAGATATTTAATTAATAAGTTGTTTTCTTTTCTTGGTTTTCGTGTCCTGTAACTCGCAACCCTTTCTCAGATTCCGGCTTTCCCTCTCATCGACGAGATCTCCAACATCACTCCCCCTCCTCCGCTGAATCAACAACCACATCTCTGATTCGAAGAATCCCATCATCGCCGCCGATTTCTCGAGGTATCGACTAGAGGAGATCTACAGCATGCGTAAATCTCCGCCGCGATGATCTTCCCTGTTACGATGTCCCCGATTACACCTTATGTCGCGAAACTGTGCTGCTGGAAACATAGGCGTGTTTGTGAATGAGAGAGCTCCATCAGCAGGATATGGAATTGCTATCCAAGAGAGGTGTTGGGCCGCATAGTTTGAGCGTGCTTGGGCTTCAGGCCCAAGAGGGGTGAGTCAGCAGATAAGGCCCAATAAGGAGACCGGGCCCGACCGAAAGACCGGGTCAGCAGGCGGTCCTTGACCGACTGCAGGCCCGAGAAATAGATAAGGGCGCCTGACATAAAGCGACTGAATAACACAGAAAGGCAGAGAGCCGTTGAAGATACGTATCCGGTGTCAGGAAAGACTAAGCATTTATTGCCGGCCACAGGCGGCCTGCAGAAAGGCTGAAAGCCTGCTCAGGACGCCCGACATGGCTTAAAGCGCCCGACATAGCATTTAATGCCTCAACCACGCTCAAACCAGGTATAAATACAGAGTGAGTGCATTAATGGTGAAACCAACTACTACCTATCTCTCTACCATAAATTCATATCTCTCCCTTTCTCTCTCTAACTTGAGCTTCGGAGAGTGTCCCGGGCGACCGTCCCGGACCATTGTTTTGCAGAGTATCGGGAGCACTCCCCCACATCCAAGAACAGGTGTCTCGCCCCAGCTCTACAAACCGCCTAGTATTTACTAGGCACAAACAATTTGGCGCCCACCGTGGGGCTAGAGCGAAGCGCTTGAAGAAAAGGATGGAGGGGAACTTCAGAACTCCAGTGAAGGACGTCATTGGCGGAGAAAACATCAGAGGTTTGGAAATGCCGACGGTCGAGGAAGAAAAAGATATGGAAGAGCGCATGAGGGACCAAGGGCAGCAGATCACTAGTATGCAAGAGAGTTTGAGCCAGATTCTCACCATGCTCAGAAAGAAAGACGAGCCGGAAAGTTCTAAGATGCGAGGCGGCAAAGGCAAAGGCGTAGACGGAGAAATTCCCCCCAGCCCTCCTCGCACGGAAGACGGGGAATCCGACAGAGAAGATGACGCTGAAGGCGCCCACCTTGACCTCCTTGAAGAGCACTTGCGACCCTCCTACGGGAAGCCCAAAGGGTACAACGTGCTGCACAACCCCTTGGTGAAGAGCCTGTTCAAGACCCAGGTGCCATCAAATTTCTCGTCGCTCGGGCTCCCTGCCTACACGGGGAACTCAGATCCATCGGATCACTTGAGCGCCTTTATGCTCAAGATGCAGCTGATTAACGCCTCAGACGCGGATCTGTGCAAAGCGTTTCCAATCACCTTCGGGGGACAGTGCCGAAGCTGGTACGCGTCCCTACCAGCCGGGATAATCGAGAACTTCGAGTAGTTCGCCACCCTCTTTTCTTTGAAGTTCGCATCTCAGCGCAGGAGGCAGCTCACTGTCTCGGCGCTCATCAACTGCAAACAAGGGGAAGAGGAAACTCTGGCTGACTTCTACGATCGATGGAACACGATAGCATGTGAGGGAGTAGGACGTCTCAACCAGCGTGGCCACTGGGAACCTAAGAATATCGACGCATAGCCGAGAACTAAAGAGGGCTCTCATCAAAAAAGAACACATCATCAAGTCATGGCAAGATCTAGACCGCGTGGTGCGAAAGGCCATCTTCTTGGAAGAAGCGCTTAATGCTGAGGAAGGGGTAAAGGGAGCACAAACATCGTCGAACAAGGCGGAGAAGAGAAGAAACGGGTCGCCAAAGCGAAGGGGGTGCACGCCCGAGAGACAAAACTACAAGCCCAGATTCAACAACAGAGATGGAAGGCGTGAGGTTTTCACCTCAGAGAAAGAAGAGGATGGACGCCGAGAAGGGGGCAAGACCAGAGAAACACGCCTCCGCCAAAGGAGGGACGACGATCAAAAATGGTGCGACTGGCATCAGCTGCCGACTCACGACACCACAGAGTGTCGGGAGTTCAAAGCCAGCCTAAAGTACCTGGCGTCGGGAGACCTGAAAAGCCGCCTGGACACACGGGCGCACCCCAGGGAGAGAACATGAGAGAGGGACAGGTCACCCAGCCCAAGGAGAAGATCCCGCACGCCTAGACGTTGGAGGTCCAGGTGTCCAAGGAGGGAGCGAACTCCTCGCCGGGAGCGCCTTCGCCCCCGAGGCACGCGCCCCCTCATCGCCATCCGCCTCGAGAGAAAGAGGATGGTGTCGAAGTAATCACCATTGTCGGGGGGCATAAGCGTCCTCGGACCGAAGGAGACCGCTTGGTACAATGCATGAACGTGCACAAGAAGGAGCAAGTCGAGATTAGTTTCGCGCCCTCGGAGCTGGCGCCCGAAGAATGTGGAGAAGACCCACTGGTCGTGTCTTTCCGAACAAAGAAATTCAAGGTCACCAAAGCCTTAGTTGACAATGGAAGCTCGGCAGACATCCTGTTTTACTCCACACTCAAAAGCATGAAGAAGGGAATACAGGACCTTAAGCCATCCACGACCAGCCTGGTAGGATTCTCCGGCTCCAAAGTCAGGGTTCTAGGCTCCATCACGCTCCAGGTGACAATCGGAAACCCGGAGGTGACGGAAACGCGCCTCATGGACTTCCACGTAGCAGACTGCCCCTCCGCTTACAATGCTATCTTGGGGCGCGGCTTCCTGTCGACCTTCTCGGCGATCCCTTCCACCTGCCATCAGATGCTTAAGTTTCCTGCTAAAGGCAGGATAGGATGCGTCCTTGCCGACTCCTAGCAAGCCAAAGAGTGCTACCAGGCTACCATTAGAAACTTGGAGGTCGACCAGGTAGACGCGAGGGGAAGTCATCTGCGCCCCAAGGCGGCCAAGGAATATGTCGCTGTCGTATTGGACGACGATGAGCCAGAGAAGAAAGTTAGAATCGCAGCTCACCTAGCGGAGGAACATGCGCGATAACTCTTGTCCGTCCTGAGAGAGTTCAAAGATCTATTTGCTTGGACGTCAGAGGACATGCCAGGTGTCCCGCGAGAGCTGGCAGAGCACTCCCTGTCAGTAAAAAGCAAAGCGCGGCCAGTATAGCAAAGGAGAAGGAACGCCTCCCTCGAGAAACAAATGACGTTGGAAGAGGAAGTAAAACGCTTGTTGAAAGCATGGTTCATCCGAGAGGTGAAATACCCAACCTGGCTGGCCAACCCTGTCTTCGTGCGCAAGGTGTCCGGTCTTTGGCGAATGTGCATAGACTTCACAAGCCTCAACGCGGCATGCCCCAAGGACGCATACCCCCTCCCCCGGATTGATCAGTTGATTGATGCAACCGCAAATCACGAAACCCTGAGTTTCCTGGACATGTTCTCAGGCTACCACCAGATACGCCTGTCAGAGGAGGACCAAGAGAAGACCGCGTTCATGACACATATGGGAAATTTCTGCTACACAGTCATGCCTTTTGGTCTGAAGAACGCGGGTGCGACGTACCAAAGGATGATCGATACAGTGTTCCAGAAACAGCTAGGCAGAAATGTGGAGGCTTATGTCGACGACGTCCTCGTCAAAAGCAATAGAGGAGCTGATCACTTGGCTGACCTAAGGGAAACGTTCGAGACGCTCCACGGGGAGCGCCTCCAAGTGAATCCGCTAAAGTGCGTATTCAGAGCCAAGGTAGGAAAATTCTTAGGCTTCATGATCACCAATAGGGGCATAGAAGCAAACCCAAAGCAAATTGAGGCAATACTCAACCTGAAGCCGCCACGCACGGTGAAGGAAATCCAGGCTTTCAACGGGAAGATGGCCGCCCTGAGCCGCTTCATCCCGCGGTCGGCGGACAAGTGCTCGCCTTTCTTCCAGATGCTGAAGAAGTCTGCGTCCCGATTACAATGGGGACCCGAATGCGACAAAGCTTTCTTTCAGTTGACGGGGCAGTTGGCCTCTCCCCCCATCCTTAGCGCCCCCCTTCAATCCGAGTCCCTGTATTTGTATCTGGCGGTTTCGGACCAAGCGGTTAGCTCAGCCCTGGTAAGGAGGGACGCCGATGGCACAGACCATCCCGTGTACTATGTCAGTAAAGCCCTCCTGTCAGCCGAAAGGCGATACATGCCAATTGAGAAGGCGGTCCTAGCGGTCACCTCAGCAGCAAGAAAGCTGCGCCCTTACTTCCAGGGGCATCCAATCACTGTTCTGTCCAACCTACCCTTAAAAAAGATACTCAGGAGTCTGGACGCCTCTGGAAGGATGACTAAGTGGGCGGTCGAGCTCAGTGAGTACGACATCTCATACGCGCCGCGTCCTTCCATAAAGGGGCAGGTGCTTGCGGACTTCTTAGCAGAAGGCTTTAGCCTCGATGTCACACAAGCAGAGGGGAGAGGAGAAGTGTGGCGTTTGTTCGTGGACGGAGCCGCCGGGAAAGCCGGAGCAGGTGCAGGAATTGTCCTCGAATCGCCCCGAGGAGTCATACACGAATTCTCCCACAGGTTCCAGGAGTTAAAGACCAACAATGTAGCGGAGTACGAAGCCCTCTTGCGCGGTCTCAGAATCGCCATGGGCATGGGCGTCATGCGTCTTCATATCTGCTCAGACTCCCTGCTGGTAGTCAATCAAGTCTTGGAAAATTACGAGGCGAAGGAAGAGGCGCTCGCAAAGTTGGCCGACGAGGTAAAGGGCGTCCTCTCACAGTTGGAAGAATGGAAGCTAGAGCATGTCAAGCGAGAAGACAATCATCACGCGGACGCCTTGTCCAAACTAGCAACGGCTATGGACTTCGAAGGTGATCGGCAGGTCACCATTACCAAAGAAGCCCCGCCCGGCGATGGGGTCATGGCCATCGAAGAGGGAGCGGCCGATTGGCGCTCTTCCATTGTTGAATATTTGCAGAAGGATGCGCTGCCGAGTGATGAAACCCAGACAAAACTAATTAAGCGGAAGGCCACCCATTACAGCATGGTGGGGGAACAGCTACACAAGAGGTCATTCTCAGGCATCTACATGAAATGCTTAGGCCCTGCTAAGGCGGAATGGATCATCAAAGAGGTGCATCAGGGCACATGCGCTTCTCATGCCGGCCCCAGAGGCCTCGAAAAAACAATCTTGTTACAGGGCTACTACTGGCCAACGGTGAAGAAGGATGCCGAAAGGGCGGTCCGTGCATGCCACGAGTGCCAAGTTCATGCCAACAAGCAGCACCTACCCAGCGCGGAGCTGAAGAGCATAACAAGCCAGTGGCCATTTGCGCAGTGGGGGCTGGATCTATTGGGTCCCTTCCCAACCGCCCCCTTGGGGAAAAAGTATCTAGTGGTGGCGGTCGATTACTTCACGAAATGGATAGAGGCCGAGCCACTGGACACAATCACCAGCGCCAAGATCCAGAAATTCCTCTTCAACAACATAATGATCAAGTTTGGTACCCCCAATACAATCATCACTGGCCATGGGACACAGTTCGATTGCAGGCCATTCGAAAATTTCTGCGTCAGGAACCGCATCACATGCAGAATGGCCTCGGTCGCCTTCCCGCAGGCCAATGGACAGGTGGAGTTGTCCAACAAGCTCATCCTCAGGGGCCTGAAAAGGCGGCTCAAGGAAGCCAAAGGAGGGTGGACCGCCGAGTTACCACACGTGCTCTGGGCGCATCCTACGAACTACAAGAGAGCAACCGGAGAAACCCCATTCGCTCTGACGTATGGCTCCAAGGCGGTTGCTCCCACCGAGGTCGTTCTGCCCTCACTAATGGTCCAGACATACGACCCGGAGGAAAACCACAAGAAGCTCCTCCATCAGCTGGACATGCTAGAGGCGAGGAGAGATGCGGCCTTGGTTAGAACCATACAAGAGAAGCTCAAGGTTGCAAAAATCTACAACGAGAGGGTAAAGCCTCGCCCGCTTGAGGAAAGAGACATGGTACTCAAGAGGAATTTCGAGCAAAAAGAGGGGCATGGCAAGCTTACCGCCATATGGGAAGGACCGTTCCTGATAGCGGAGAAGTTAGGGACCGCCACGTACGTGTTGGCTACCATGGAGGGGCAACCAATAGCCAAAACATGGAATGCCATTCACCTCAAGAAGTACCACAGCGAGTGAAGAAGAGTAGACAATAGGAATTTTGTAAGAAGTCAACGCCGCAGTTTGGGGCGCTTTTATAAGAGTTTAGTAGTCAACACTCTTATCAATGACTTCAGTAATTCAAGTCGCCACTGAGCGATATGTTTTTATGTTACCAGTCTAAGTTATTCTCATAACTCCTGGCGACTTAACACAGCTACTAACCGCCGCAGCGCACGCACATGCGCCCGCCAACCTCGCGGGGCTTAACCGCCCCTGAGTAGTAGTTACACACGTCTCAAACTTAGGCAGAGACTATGTTACACATAACATTCGAGAAACTCCATGAAGTTCCTAACTTGAACAATAATTACACACGTCTCAAACTCAGGCAAGCTCCCCGAAGTTTCACAAAGAGTTTTCACCTCACAACGGGTAAACCGCTCCGGGACGGTATAAAGCGTTTGTAACACAAAGATCGTAAAGCGCGAGGCCCAAACATCGCTCAGCTAACCTCTAAGCCGCCCCAGCGACAAAGGACTAGAGGGCGTGTTTCCTCCTCGGGCGTGCTCCCCACGTCTGTTGTCATCCAACATAGAGAAGGGAAGGGGAAGCACAGATAACATAAACCGCAAGTAAATGGTCCTAGCATGCGAAGAACGGGAAGAAGAAGCATAATCAACACGCAGGGAAAAATATTACAAAACCTCGCCAAAAGGCGGAATGTATCGTGCACCCCGAAGGGATCCATTCGCCAATAGAGCCGGTTTTAGTGAAGATCCGCTCATATGCTGCATGAGGGGCGGAAAAAGACGGCTTTGCCCATGAGTTAGCGATCAAGCGGAAAAGGACCTGCTGGCTTCTTTTCTTTCTGGAGCAGAGCTGCCTTGCTCGTAGCTCCCTATTGATATAAAAGGAGATGAAGGGTGAAAGAAAAATAAGAAGCAAGTCTTGAGGGAGTAAAGAGCCACCGTTAGGTGGTTCTGCGCCAAGTGCGATCGATTGTCCTTCCTTTATAGATTGAACTACCGTAACTCCACTCAACCAACAAAGTAAATTCTATACTTAAAGTTGAGTTACCGTACAAACTCAACAAGACATGAAAGAGACTTATGTGCGCTTAGAATCTTATTCAGTGGAGGCATTCTCTTCCTAGTTGTGACTCTGCATTTGCTTCGGCACTCCCAACCATGTTTTCTGAACTGAGACACATCTTCCTCGCCGTCCTAGTCTATGCCTCTGTTCTATAGGGGATTCACAAGACCTACAATGTTGAGATTTTTTGTGTAGGGTGATTCTTTATATTGTTCCATTGTATACTTGTCGTACAGTCAATAGAGTACACTTGTTGTTTGACATCCTGTGGGTAGGAAATACTCTTCCACTGAACTCTGTTTTTTCTTCACATGATATTAAAGATCGAACCCGGCCAGAATAGTTTCATCGCCGGAAATTGTGGTCTTTCTCTCTCTCTGTCTCGCGTACAGCCCGTCGTCTCAGTTCGTCTACGGGTTCGGTTGGAGCAACAATGGCCGATGATCGGATTTGACGCGGGGCAGGTGGCGTACTACGGTCTCCGGGAAGTACTCGGCCCACGAATGGTTAACCAAGCCCCGGTCTAGTCGCTCCTCTCCTTTAGAGTCGAGTTGTTTTCGCTCCTCTCCTCCGCTGCTGTGTAGTAAAGTTAAGGTAAGGATATGACATTTTTTTTCTTTCTTTCCGCCCTATCTTTCTTTTTTTTGGGGGGGTGTATAGCTCAGTTGGTAGAGCATTGGGCTTTTAACCTAATGGTCGCAGGTTCAAGTCCTGCTATACCCAAACCTACCTTCACTAGACTATTAGTAAGTTTGAAATAAAACCTTCAAAGATCACTCTTTGGCCCGGAAAGCATTGGGCATCTTCTTTTATTTAAAGTCTCCGTGCTCTTCTTCTCATCATATTAAAGCCAAGCACCCATAAAGCCCTTCCCAAGTAATTAATTCCATTCCACCAGTTCGGGGGCAAGGAAGAAGCTTATTTTACTCGTCTCATTTGCTCCCGCCGGGACTCTTCTCTGAAGTCTTGGAAGGAGGAGAAAGCAAGGAAAAACGGTAAAGAGAAACACTTAGTCAAATGGTTAAAAAGTTAAGAGGAGCCGCCTTCGGTGGGAGCGGGCTGGTTCACTTCCTCCCCGGTAGTGGTCGCGGCGGCCGCATGCTGGGTTCCTTCCTCGGAGTTGACATCATTGTCACCCCAAAATTCCACCGCGTCCCAGGCCGCGTTCCGATCCCAGACAACATAGGGATGCTCGCGACGAAACAGGTGGCGGATGGAGGCCACTGTATCCCGCAACAGCTTCTGATACTTGGCTTCATCCACTGCTTTGAACTCGTCTGATTCGAAGAAGGAAGCGCTAGCATCCTCCCTAGACTCGTCGAGGTCACGCTCCCGCTGCGCCTCTAGCTTAACCATCCCGGCCTCCAGCTCTTGCACCTTCTTTTGCAGCTGTTTCTCCCGCTCGGCCGACTCCCGCACCTTTTGCTGGGTATCCTCCAGCTCCCGCGCCGACCTTGCTAGCTCCTCCCTGGCGGTCCGCAACTCAGCATCCTTCACCTGCGAGACCGCCTCATGGTCCTTAAGGATCTCGTCCCGCAGCTCCTGGCGAAAACCCTCACGCCCCTCCTTCAGCTGCTCCTCATGCTTGAGAATGCGGGTCTCGCGGTCGCCCAGGTCGTCTAGCAGGCGCTCGTTATTCAGGATAAGTTGACTTATCCCGAATTGGGCCTGGATTCACAAAGCCATTCAGTACCATGCAACTGTCAAACAACATAATTAAGAATAAGTTAGGGCACTCACCGCAAAGAAGCATCGAGCGGTTGTCCCAGCAAGATGACGAGTGTCAGAAGTCGTGGCAATGGCACCCGCGACTCGTACGTACTCGCTTGGAACCGCGAACCCTTCGGCAATCGCATGAAGGGCACGGCGAGCTGGCTCAGCTGAGGAAGTCACATGCGGGGAGTACATCGCACTGGATGAAGGCGTGGTAGTTTTTTGCTTCTTCTGGGCGGCTTGCGGCTCGGAACGCTGGTCGACCATGATGCCCTTCAGCTTCAGCTGATCCTCTGATGGCTGCTTATCCTTAACCACCACCACGTCCAGCGGACGCTTGGTACCAGCTCGAGCTGCGCCCTGCCCACTAGGGACGGTCAGCTTGAGGGTTCCCGAGCGTCCCATCGCCAACTACGACTGGGTAAAACCGCCTCCGATTCTGGGACCCTCCGAGCCGGTAGGAGTGGAGGCAGCGGCCAAAGGAGAACTGCTCGCGACTGCTCTAGGCGGCCTCGCCGAAGATGCATACCGCCGGATACCTGAAAAGTAAATACATAAGTAAAAGCATGAGCAAGCTACATCCCATCAAAGTCTAGGAGAACTAACTAACCGTGAAAATGCTGCACAATCTCAAGAGCGTTATCATGTCCGTGCGGGGGCAACCGAAACTGGACGGTCGAGGTGACGCGATTGAGATGCGGTCTCAGATGTTGAAGCTGCTTGACCCCTTCGTCCCAATCGTCCGTCCGCCCGAAGGACAACGCAGTTAGCGGCTCCACGTCCCCCGAGTACCATTTTCCGGTCGGGCGGGCAAAGAAGTACTCACTGTACAAGAGAGAATCTAGTTTGCGGGACCCATAGACGAATCCAACATTTTTCGACCGCCTTCGGGGTGACCAGCAGTTTTTCGAACAGGTCATGGCATACAGCAGCCGAAAAGCGTCAATGGACGGTTCCTCCTTCAAGCGGTCGCAAGCCGCACGGTAACAGATGGAATGAAATATTATGGAAGGAGAAAGGCGGCTCAAGGAGCAGTTAAGGTGTAGAAGAATCCCAGTGAGAAGCGGGTCTAGCGGGAACTCCAACCCTAATCGCATATGCTCCGTAACTGGACAAGAACCGCAGCGTCCTTCGAGGGATGGAGCCGCGTACTCCCAATCAGTCGGCAGCTGATGCTTGTGAAGCTGTCGGAGTACTTGTGTAGGAGAGTAAGCGGGCTTGTAAAGCGGCCCGTACGAGTAAACCGCATTGGGGACTTCTTTCCCTTCCCACATATCCGCATGCAGACGCACACGGTACTCGCGATCCGCAATCGCCTGGAATGGGTGGATCATCGGCGCCTCGGATAAAGCTAACAAGGGGGAGTCTGCGACTGAGTCTTCCCCGGTTGAGTCATGGGGCGTGTCTTCCGGCGCGCTTTCAGATGACAGCTCTATCAGTTAGTGCGCCCACCCCTAGCCCTAAAATGCACCGTCAGGTCTATCTACACGCTCACTCACGAAAACCGCATTACCACCCCCACAGCAATTCAATACCCTCTGAGTCCCATTCTATGTCGAATAAACTTAAAGCGCTAAAGAAAGCGGGCATACCTGCTCCAGCAGCAGGCCTGCACTGGCGGTTTTAGCACCAGAGCGCGCAGCGCTGACGCTGCCGTGAGTGGCTACGACGTCGCCGGAGGCGGCGGCCGCCGCCGCGCCGGAAGCGGTGGTCATCGCGTCAGCAGAGGCGGTGGTTGTGGCGACGTCGGAGGCAGATGGCGGCGCCGATTCACCGGAGAGGCCGCGGTTCTGGCTGTCAGAGGGGGTGGTTGACTGAGAAGCCATCGCCGACAGTTGTTTTCTCTTCCTCTTGTCTCGTTTCTGGGATCTCCTCAGGGAAGAAAGAAACCGATATCGCTCCGCCGGAAGAGAAAGATGAGTCTCCAAATAACGAGAGAGAGAAAATTTGGAGCACCGCGCAATTTTGAAATAGATGACAGAGAAAGAAGAAAATGCGAAAGTTCCTCCCAAGAGAAACACTCGGGGTATATATAGCGGCAAAAAAGAAAAGTGATGTGACGGTTGAGTGCCCGAGACATAGCTCTAGGCCGCAAAATTCAAAAACGGGCAAGTGAAAGGACGTTTCGTCTGCCCGGTGTCAGAGCATGAAAACCAATCCACAGCCACGTGTGTATAGCGTCTCCGCCAGGAAACCCCGCAAGGCGGTTGGAGTACTACTTAGGCAGGTCAACCCTAGGTCTCCGGCGACCAGGGGCAGAGTGGGACAAGGAAGAGGCGTAAACCGCTCAACTAGCTGAAAGCATTATTGGTAGCCGCCAAAACCCTAGGCTTTTCCCGCCTAAGGGGCAATTGTTGGGCCGCATAGTTGAGCGTGCTTGGGCTTCGGGCCCAAGAGGGGTGAGTCAGCAGATAAGGCCCAATAAGGAGACCGGGCCCGACCGAAAGACCGGGTCAGCAGGTGGTCCTTGACCGACTGCAGGCCCGAGAAATAGATAAGGGAGCCTGACATAAAGCGACTGAATAACACAGAAAGGCAGAGAGCCGTTGAATATACGTATCCGGTGTCAGGCGAGACTAAGCATTTATTGCCGGCCACAGGCGGCCTGCAGAAAGGCTGAAAGCCTGCTCAGGACGCCTGACATGGCTTAAAAAGCTTGCTCAGGACGCCCGACATCGCTTAAAGCGCCCGACATAGCATTTAATGCCTCAACCACGCTCAAACCAGGTATAAATACAGAGTGAGTTTATTAATGGTGAAACCAACTACTACCTATCTCTCTACCATAAATTCATAACTCTCCCTTTCTCTCTCTAACTTGAGCTTCGGAGAGCGTCCCGGGCGACTGCCCCGGACCATTGTTTTGCAGAGTATCAGGAGCACTCCCCCACATCCAATAACAGGTGCCTCACCCCAGCTCTACAAACCGCCTAGTATTTACTAGGCACAAACAAGAGGGTTGCCTACCTTGAAGGTACCCAGATTTGTGGAATGAGATGATGTTATGAATATGTATCCATCAACAATTCATTGTGTTCTTATTTGTCAGTTTCTGCTGGTTCTGTCCAATAAAGCAATGCTCTATATATTGGTTAATTCTAGTTTGTTATGTAGTTGTTGTGTTGCAAAAAGTATTAGTGATATAAATTCGATTCCATTTCTATATCAACAAGATCTTGGTTGAAGTATCAAGAATATAGTTGCAAATTGATGGGGAATGGGGTGTCCTAAAACAGAGATGCCATACCTGTAAGATTAATTTGGTGGGGATGGAGGGAGGGCGGGGAGGGAGGTTTTTGGTGGTCGTGGTGGTGAATTTGAGGAGGAAGATGAAGATTGTGGTGGTGATTAGTATGGTGAGGAGAAGGGAAGGAATGGTGAAAAGGAAGAGGATTGCTACGGGGAGTAGAAGGAGGAAGAGGAGGATCGGTTTGGTGGATTTCTTCATGTTGTTTTTGAAGAAAGTGTCGAGGCTCAAGGGGAATGCATCAGTTTTGTTGTCTCTGCCGTGGTGGTGGTGGGCGTCGTCGATAAAGTCTTCAAATTTTGGGGAAGATGAGGAAGAAGAGCTGTATGGGGAGACATACCTGCAAGATTAATTTGTTTTCTGGTATCTCTAGCTATTGAGCTAGAATTATGAGTTATGGAGCATCAATTTTCTTCCTTGCTTTACCATATCAAAAACTCTGAAAGTGTCACCATTTTATTATGAGTTTCCGTATTCTCAAGTTCACTCGAAAGGACACCAAACTTCTCCTAATGCAAACCACAATACTTCTGAAACATACCAGAAACACTATAAAGCATACTAAAAATGTTTCTAAAACTCACTAGAAACCTCCTAATGCAAAACACAAATCTCATAAAACATAACAGAAACCTCACAAAGCAAACCACAAATATTTCATAAGCAAACCACAAACACAGTAAATCAAACCACAAAAAAGCAAACCATAAACGTCCTAATGCAGACCACAAATATATTAAAACAAACCAGAAACCTCACAAAGCAAACCACAACATTTGCGAAAGCACACCAGAAACCTCCTAATGCAAACCACAAACACATTAAATCAAACCACAAAAAAGCAAACCATAAACATCATAATGCATACCACAAATATATTAAAACAAATAAGAAACCTCACAAAGCAAATCACAACATCTGCGAAAGCACACCAAAAACCTCCTAATGTAAACCACAAACACAGTAAATCAAACCACAAAAAACAAATCATAAACGTCCTAATACAGACCATAAATATATTAAAACAAACCAGAAACCTCACAAAGCAAACCACAACATTTGCGAAAGCACACCAGAAACCTCCTAATGCAAATCATAAACACAGTAAATCAAATCACAAAAAAGCAAACCATAAACGTCCTAATGCAAACCACAAATATATTAAAACAAACCAGAAACCTCACAATGCAAACCACAAATTTTTTGAAAGCAAACCAGAATCTTCTTAATGCAAACCACAAACACGATAAAGCAAACAACAAAAGGCATACAAAAATATGAGAAACCAAACTATAAATCTCACAATGCAGACCATAACATCCGGTGGTCGTTGACCAGTCAACGAAGTTCGTTGACCAAACTCCGATGATCGTCAGTGAGCAGATTCCGACGTCGATAGGCATATTCCCGCCCCGATCACTAGATTCCGATGTCGGTAAGCATATTACGACCACAGTGAACATATTCCGGCGATAGTGGGCATATTCCGATGACAAAATAGCATATTCTGGCGATAAAAAAAGCATATTCCGGCGACCGGTGGCCGAAGGCGACCAAAATTTTGAGTAGAAAATAATTTTTTTATTTTTTTTATTATTAGTTAAACATATTTTTCATAATGACAATTATACCCCTGTTTTGAGTTTACACTAGGTCAACTAAGCTAATAAAAAGTCATCACAACCCTACCTTCCTATTGGTTGGAGACTAGTGTTGTTACAATAACAACACAAGGGGTGTTGTGACTGTGTTCACACTATCTAGTTCGGCTGGAACATGGTTCGACCTTTTTTCAGTCTTCGCCGGTGAATTGTAGCTGAGAATAGAGAGGTTATGTCGTTGGCGGCAAGGCTTGGCTCGTTGGAGGTGAAGGTTCTGTCGCCGGAGGCAGAGGAATAAGGGATGAGAGACTGTGTGTGCCATTTGGTTGGATTTTCATTTTGAAATTTGAAATGAACAATTATGTAAATTATGTATTAAAGTTAAGACGATGTTTAGTAATTTTATGATGACTTTTAGCGATCTTTTTAATTTTCCCCTATTGAGAGAGTAAAGGGCTTTGTGTATTTGCTTTAATGAATAAATATTTAGGGTTTCTTTGTTTTGGATTTGAAAAAATGTGAGACTTGATTAAAATAAATCTTTAAATTTATGATAATTTGGTGTATTTGAATAGTATATTATTTGAATAGTACATTGAGGATAGATTTATAATTTTAAGAGGTACATTACCATACTATCCTATTTGTCTTCATATTATTTTCCATTACACATTTTTTATTGATTATGTTGTAACAGAACGGAAAATTGACAAAGCAAGAAATTAAAAAATATATAAATTCCTGTGGTTCATAGCACGATGTGTGTTGCCTAATCCACAAGCAAGATAAAATGATTTTACTCTATTTGAGAATGATACATATTAATGAGGGGTTTAGAAGGTATATATAAACACCTTTTTTAAATGATGACATCCTAATCCAACATCAAAAGGAAAATGTAACAAAACGAGTCAAACAAAAAAATAAGATGTGTATAAGCTCATAATTCCAGTCGACGACACATAATTAGACTTCAAGTAAAACAACAAATCTCCACCTCGACTTGCATTCTCTCTCAAATATCATATGTACCATATCCAACCCTCATTGTCAGATGTACTCAGACGTCTCCCTCCTACCTCCAAATATCCCTAAGGGCATTAACAACTTTGAGCATTCAACAAGTTCAAGCAATGTTGGAACTTGTTGGCTTCGTGAACATATAAGCAATGTCCACTTTCTTCATTATAATTTTATTCTATGTTCTCAGAGAATTAATACATCATGTCTATGTGCTTACTCCTCTCATGATGGACTTGACCCTTCGCCAAGTATATATTGCACTTAAACTGTCACAATATACCGCAGTATGATCATATGATGTAAACCCATATCATTAACCAAAGCTGTCAACAATATTATCTCCTTAGGAGTTTCTGTCACTGCAATGTACTATGCTTCAGACCTTCAGTGGTAGACAAAGTAAATGAAGACTACAAAGTCACCTACCAATTTAACAACAGAACTTCCAAGAATGAATACATAACTCGTCATAAATCTCATTGTGTCAACAGCTCTAACATAATTAGAAACATAATAACCAATCACTAAGCACTATATATAACTTTCAAAACTTATCCCAACATCACATGTACCGTTAAGGTCTCAGAACATCCTCTTCATAACTTGCCAATGTTCCTTCTAGGTTGCACTAAGAACCTACAGGCAACACTGATGACATGTGTAATATCAAGTTTAGTGCAAACCATAACATATATCATGTGTCCTACTACACTAGAATATGGAACCGAGACATATACTCCTTATCAAATTTAGGTTGAGGTGCATAAATAGAGGGTAGATGAACATTTGAAACACAAGGAGTATTTAAGGTTTTTGCTGATGACATGTCAAATTTGGACAATATCGTATCAATGTATTTTTTTGTGACAGGAAAAGCTTCTTCTAATATATTTTCGTATAAATCTCCATACCCAAAAATCTTTTAGTAGTTCTCAAATCTTGCATCTCAACTCAGTATAAAGAAAACCCTTCCACTTTCGGATATCAGACTTGGACTATGTAGCAATGGGCATCATCGGTTGTGATATATAAGAAAATCATACAAACTTTTGTTGTAGCCTAACTCAATCATATAATTGTCAAACCTCTTGTACCATTGCCTTGAAGCTTGCTTTAGTCCGTACAACGATTTTTTCAACTTACAAACATAATCTTCTTTACCCAAAACTTGAAACTCATATAGTGGAGTCATATAAATATTTTTTTTATCTCTCCATGTAGGAAATTGTCTTCACGTCTAGTTGCTCAAACTCCAAGTTCCAATGTGCAACTATTGACAATAGACTCTGATTAAGTATGCATGAACACCAGTGAGAGGATCTAATTGTAGTCCATACCTTCTTTTTGTGCGACCCCTCTTGCAACCATCCCAACTCTGTATTTGACACACTCTACCATTAATATCCCTTCCTTCTTTTTAAGATTCACTTGCTAAAAACAAATCTTTCTCCCCTATAGTCGTTTGACTAATCACAAGTCTTATTAATTTCAAGTGATTGCATCTCATTTCCCATTATAACAATCCACCGAGTAGGCTCGTAACACGAAACAACATAATTGTAGGTAAGTGACTCACTCATGTCCACCTATTAAGCAATTTGAGTGCATAAGTCACCATATCATCAAAGTCATACCTCTTTAGAAGCATTTCTGCATTGATTCTCTTTGGTCTATCAGAAGCTATATGTGGTTGAGCTTGTGCTCTAGACCTTAAAGATTATGACAAATTTAAAAATATCCACATGTTGATCTTCTCTACTTTGGGGTTGCAACTCACTCTCATGTAGAGTTCTTTTACTGTTTCATCTGCTTATCAACATTAGTACTATTTTCTGCAACATTAACCTTCAACGTGGATTTAAACATGAATTTCTTATCAAATATTACATTTATACTAAGTATAAATCAATGTGAAGATGGTGACCCGACTCAGTATCCATTAACTTCTTCCTTGAACCCCATAAATCGCCATTTTTAATTTGAATTCAATTTATCATCATCCACTTTATAGTAAACAGGACAATACAAAATTTCAACAAACAATAATCAGCAGGCTTACTAGACCACATCTCATAAGGAGTTTGACATTCAATATCAGTGTGAGGTCCACGGTTGATAAGGTAGCAAGCCATGTTTAATACATACATATGTACTAAATCTTCTCTCCAGTCCAGAGTGAGCATGTAGCTTACTCTCCCCAACAATGTACGATTCATGTGTTCTGCTGCCTTATTCTGATGTGGTGTATCTCTAATAGTGTGATCGAGAGAAATTCCTTCATCTTTGCAAAAATCATTGAACTCAAAACTAAAATATCTAGACCATTTGTCAGTTCAAAGCATTTTGGTCGATCTTATTTCTAGTATGATTCTCCACTAGAGCCTTCCACGGCTGGAACGTCTTAATATATTTTTATGCTTCATCCTAAATACCCAAGTAAACTTGAGTAATCATCAATAATTGATTAAAAAAACTTGTTGTCTCCAATAAATTGAATTCGAGAAGGACCCAATAGTCAATATGGAGGTAATCAAGTATCCCCTTCTTCGGAGAATGCCCTTCTTTTAAGAGACTTATTGTGATGTAGCTTCCCAAAAATACAATGTTTGCAGAGTTGAAGACCCTGCACCTTGTGCCCGTAATGATACATCTTCATCAAAACTTGCATCCCTTTCAGTCATATGATCAAGCCTCATATGCCAAAGAGTGTTCATATCGTCCTTGAGAACTTTGGACAACGTAACAACAACATAACCTTGCAAAGCATACAAGGTACCAGGTTTCACACCTTTCCAAATCACATTTAAACCCTTGCAGACATACACTGCTCCACCTTTTCCCCTCAAACTAAAACCTGTGTTGTCTAGTATACTCAAAGAAATCATATTCTTGGTCATTTGTGGAACATGTCTAACATCATTCTCAAGGAAGAAAGAAAAAACATGTGCCTGTACTTTCATAAAACTTATTCCAACCACTTTGCAGTCATCTTAATTCGCCATAATCACATTTCCTCCATGTATCTGCTTCTAGGTCTAAAAACAACCACCGTTTGGAGTCATATAGTAAAACGTTGTAGTGTCAACAAACCACACATCTTTATAATGTGGTTCCTCATCTACTACTGAGGAGAGATTGTCTTTAGAACTAGTGCAATTTTCTGCTATATCATCATAATCTTGTTTATGCTTAGGACAATTGATTTTCAAATACAAATTTTTCTTACATTAGTGACAAATATTGTTTGATTGTATACCATACCTTTAAAATATGAATTGGTTTTTGTCTTCTCTTTATGAATTTCTTCTATATCTTACCAATTTTCTAGGACCTCTCTAGTATGAAGATTAGATCCAACATCTTCCAAAGATAGACAATTTTTTCCAATAATAAAAGAATTAACGAAATTCTCATATGACCTTGGCAAGGATACCAACAAAATTAAAGCAACAACTTCATAATCTAATTCATCTATGTTACGAAGGTCAAGTATATGGTGTTGAGTTGTTTAAGATAATCCCTAAGAGACGTCCTTCCTGCATACACATGCTTAGCAATGTTGCTTTAGTCACAACTTGTTGGTTGAAGACTTCGTCATGTAAAGACTTTACAGCTTCAACCATAGAATAACGATAATTTTCTCAGCGACAACTTCAGTGATGATATCATCAGATAAACAAACACATGATATTTGAGTGGGCCTGCTCCTTTATGGTACTTCACTCTTTCTCATCGACCTCTATCTTCTTTGGTTTCCAATATAGTGGCATCTACAACCCTTGTTGTTTCAATAATGCTTGCAATTTGATCTGCCATATACCGAAATGTTTTCTCCAAGTGAACTTTTCGACGTTCATATTCATGGAAACCATTCTTGATTTCAAAATCCTACATAGATTCTTAACCGCGGTTATGAGGCCATTTGTTGTAACTAAGTGGAAATTGACAATACAAAAATGTTAAGAACATACAAATTTAAATAATTCTCACACGAGTGTATGTTAGTTAATATACAGTGAGATAAACCAATTTCACTATGTTTGAGAAGAATATGAATTAGCTGATAATATACAAATAATTAAGGTAAATATAATTATACTTCAAATTCCCTTTATAAAATAAAATATTATAAGATAAAATATTACCAGCTAATCATATTATAAGATAAAATATTTAATTAACTCAAACTAAATCGTATTATCAGCTAATAAGTTATTACCTGACATCTTAATTCTTATTCGAATAAGATTAAATCAATTAAAATAATTAACACATATTAACCTAGGCAAAGAAATTGTAAAGCTACAGCTCCTTTAGTGCCAGACACGGAATCCGACACTAAAGATCATGTTAGCCGGTCCCAAAAGAGTGACCACAGCCTCTGCTTGGCAAGCCTTTCGCGACGGTAACTAACACGTTGCAAAAATCCTGGAACTCCGTCGATAGTATCCCAGAAAGCTAGAACTCAGTATCAATCGTACGTATAAACGTCGATTTTAACGGGAGGGATTGGGCTTTCTTACCTCGTATTCGTGCCTAGAGCTATATCAGAGTCACTAGGGATTCTATTCCTTGATTAGATCGTCATTCGGTCACCACGTATCTTTGTTGCCGAAGCTACAACGGGAAAACAACTATGGTTAACTAACTACATAGCTTTGAAGCTTGAAAGACGGTTGTAGGTTCATCGATAATGCCTACTTGTCGAGAGAGAGAGAGAGAGAGTGGAAGAGACTAAGGAAGTGGCGGCTGGTCTCATTGTCATTTCCCGGCGTTGATGATAATGGCCACATGACGACATCGAAATGCTTTGATGGATGCAACGAGGTTGATGATGGTGATGAAGGACGAGATGGTGATTCTGTGGAAGTCCAAATGGCAGGAAGAAGATGAGAAATAACATGGAGGGAGTCATGGTTTGATGCATGTACGGTTGGGGGAGAATGGAGTCTTACATAATATGAAGGAGGGGGATTGAAGTTATAGGAGAGATTACCGACACTAGTGGTTTTACCATTTCACTCCATCCACCATTAATTTGGCCAGCTCAATTCTCATGGCTTGGGTATGGTTGTTAGGAGGTGGGTCTGCTAATATTGTTCCATGATGATGGAGTGACAAGATGGTAAATGATGGGTGTGGTCTCTTGTGATGCTTTGCAGGCGAGTAGGGTGAGAGAGATGGGAGATTTGGGTGGGATGAGTTGATAGGTGTAATAGATATAAATGCAATTATGTAAGGGGAAGGGTAATTAATTAGGGGAAATACTAATTTAAGTGTGATTTGTGGTGTCACAAATAGATTAGTACGTAGTTCCTTTTGATAATTGTGTGGTGGGCCGATGTGAGTGATGATAAAGGAATGACAGAGAATTTGATAATGGAAAGGCACTTTGGGATTCATTTTTGGTGTTCTACGTTGATGGATTGGAGAATGATGTGTTTGTTTGTGGGGTACTTTTTCCTTTTGGAGTTACGTTTGATGGAGAATGATGCGTTTGTGTTTGTTTGTTTGGCAACGAAGGAGATACTACATAAATAAATAGCCTTAACAACCTTAAACAGCCTGCTTTTTCAACTAACCATACTTTAAGACAACAAGGACCAAATAGAGACTTAACGAGAACAGACAACTTCACTTTATTTGTAATAAAACAACAACCGTGTTCAAGTAGTCCTAATCCCAACAATTAAGTTCCCTTATTCCCAAGCTTAATCACATCCCGGTGAAGTCAACGGGGCTCATAGGACCTCCGCAGGAATCGTAATCCGGGGTGGGGCAAGGCATTGCTTCCCGTCCAGCGTCGTAGCAGACGCGGATCTCGAGGAGAAAATACCTCCCGTTCAAATCTATCTGGCACTCGATCAAGGCGGTGCGGTTTGGGAGTGCGGCCACAAAATCGCCCACCAAGTAGGTTCCACCCGGCACAATATTTTGGCTCTCCAACTCCTGGAGGAGGTCGATGTCCCTCGTCAGCCGGAGTATTTCTAGGAAGTAATCAACCGGCGCCAGTTCGGAACAGCTGCCATGCTCGTTCCACTGGTCTGCCCAAAAGTTTTGATCAGGGTCACCTGACCGGTTTTGAAAATCCAAAATCTGGGGCATGCTTGCTGGGAGGTAGACGCCGGTGAGAGGGGGACCTAGCTCATTCTGCATGCGTGGTATTATATTAGTCTAAAATTAAAGATATAGCTAGTATAGGAAGACGACCTGAAGATAATTAATTAAGAAGAGTATTTACCGCTAAAGCAATCGGGTCCTTGTACCCGCATTGCGTGACCGAGCCTCCCCCGTATAGCGAGGGCCACAACCCATGCACTGTGAAGTAGAAGATCAGGGGCACGGAACATGGTACGTCACGTACAGAGCATCGGCCAGCTGGCCACTGCAGCGCGAAAGTGTAATAGTCGAACGCCACCGCACTCCGGAACGCCGCCGCGAGAATTAGAACAGTACACAGAACAGTATGGAGCTTTCCCATGGTATTTTTGTTTTTAAGGAGGCAGATATGCAGTGAAGATGAGCGAAGGTGTAGTAGCAGCCAAAGCTCTATTATATACTACGCTAATTTGCATGCGATTACTGTTAGGTTGGTCAAACACGTGGTAGCGGTGACGAAACTAATGGAATTTACTCTGCACTAATTGCTTGCTAATTTGAATTGGCGATGACTGTTTGGTTTACGAACCTAATCGCTACTAGTAGATGGCAAAACAAATTGATTCAGCATTGACTTACGGACAGCTTGCATTTAAAACTTCTGCTTCCTCCCTTTTAAATCAACTTAATTGCGACACAGCAAAATTAAGTAAGACACGTTACATCATACCTATGACCTTGTTAGTCATTGATTCTAATATTCCTTATTACATAAATAAAATCATATCCCAAAAAATGCTTCTTGTCCCATCTTCCTGAAATAAAATAATATCAAAGACTAATATTTCTTATTACAGATATTAGTCAACAAAATATCCGTCAAATCAACATATGCCGAGAAGTCACTAATAGTCCATAAAATAGAAGTTTGTAACTCAAAGTTCCTTTTCAAATGGGCATCGTATGCATTCACTCCATCCACTCATAAGTTCTCCAATTCCTTGATCAAGGGTTGCAAAAATATGTCAATGTGCATACTAGGGCTACTAGGGCCGGTTATAATCATTGACATGATAAAAAATGGTTGTTTCATGCACAACCAGGGGACAAGTTGTATGGGACAAGCACCAGTAGCCAAATACTATGCTGGGAGCTCATATTACTAAAAGGTTGGAACAGTAAGATGTTTCATTAATTATCTCATCCTCAATTCTCCCTTCTTTATGCCATCTCATTTGCAAAGCTGTTTTACTTTATGTAAATAACCTCTGCTGGGAGTTAAGGGAAAATATTGTAACACCTTGTGTGGTTTTCCCTTCCCATATCTAAGAGATTCATATATTGGGCAAGATCTTGCATCCTTATGATGACCTCAATACAACGTGCAACTATTCTCACAACCAAGACCCAAATCAACAATGTACTTTTTTCGCACGATTGAAAGATTCAGGTAAATTATCATTTCCATTGGTAATTAGTGCCCTCACAATTCTAAGTAAGTGATAGAGTGCTTACTAGTTCACTTGTGAAGACTCTTGAGATGGAGCAATTTCACAATCGTGGCTAGTTTAGTGTACTCGCAATTTGAGTGCATTTTCTCATGGACCTCTTTGAGCAAGTGATAGAAGGTAGCAAGTTCTTTATTTGGCTCTTCTTTTCCGACCACAAAATCTTCTTCGTCGCTTCCAATGTCATACACATCATGTATCAATCCAGCCATACCATCAAGTATATCACAAGAGGTAGGATCTTCATTAATTTCTTCACTAGTAGGCGTCCTCATATTATTACTTGCAACTTCTTCATGAGAGTATCAGGTCGTGTAATGTCTTAAGATTCCATTTTTAACTAATGAAAATTCTTGGCTCAACGATTCGCATATGCAACTTTTCAACCATTTGTGCAAGGACAACGGATGACTTGTTGATTGGTAGAATGACAAAAGAGAACTCAATATATTTATTGACGTCATTGATGAATTCAGACGCTCTTCTAATTGTTATACTCATCAAATCTTTATTTAGAATCTTTACCTATAAAAAAAAAAACAGTAAGAATCATACAACATGAATTTTACGTCTAAAGGAAACACTAAATAATAAAGGACACGAAAGTATTTAATAGGAAAACAATAGCAAATAAATAATTTATAGCCTTAAAAAAGTAAAGGGAGGAAAAGCAAACAGGACAAATGCAGTACAGTAAATCAGCTAAGCAACCGTGTGAGTAAGCTATGGCACAACTTTTTAAAAGGTGGTGAAGAGGAAAAAAAAATTATTTTTTTCTAGTTATAATTCAGGTGGAAACTCTAAAAAAAATAATTAAACTTTATATATTTTTTAATTGTCATGTCACACATTTAACAGTCACTATAAGAGTTGACTGCCATGTAAGCAGAAGTTAACGGAGTTGGACGGAGAGTGACCAAACTTGTAATGTTTAACTAGTTTTAGTGATCATGAACGGAATTAAATATTGTCATTGACCAAACGTAAACGTTTTTAGTAATCTCAGTGACCAAACTTGCAATTTACCCATAAAATATATGTAGGAGATTCATGAGTTAAATTTTCTCCATTTTAAATTTTCAGCAACCTAAGTAAAAGCAAGACCAACCACAATGTGGGAGGGAAGATAGAGTGGGAAAAGCAGGTGGGGGAAGAGTTTAGCCAAATGGGTGGGAAGAAAAAAGATGGTATTTGGTTTGTGTTTTTATTGTAAAATCAATCTATAGTTGATCTCTTCATTTATTTTGATCATTATTTTGACATAAGCAGTAACAATTAATTAAGATAAAATTTTGATATAATTTTTTTTTATTTGGACACAATTGTTTCCATCACTAATTAAATATGATGTCATCAATTTCTTTTTTAATTTGGATCCTCAAGAGATTTGTTGTATTAATAATTGAACATAAACATAATTAAAAGGATACATCAAGGATAAATTCAAAGTACTTAATTTAAACACACTAAAAATTAAAGAGACATCAAGGGTACGTTCAAAGCACTTAAAACAAATACAGTAAAAAATAAAGCTTACATCAACAATAATGGTACAACTTGTTAAAGATTACAGGTCGGGGTTGTAAGTGTCATTAGGACTGACAAATTGGTTGTCGGTTACCAGTTAACTGACGGTTATAACCGATAACCAATGAGAATGGCCTTCGGTCGGTTTTCGGATGGTTGGAGAGGGGTTTCGGTTAACCGATTAACCAACGGTGAAGAATTTCCATTAACCGGCAATCCGAAATCCCTCTCCAACCATCCAAAACGACACCTCACAACTTGAATGACCCCAACCATAACCTTTAAACAACCCTAACCGGCTAACCGAAACCCCTCCCTAACCATCTGAAATGACACCGCACAACAAAAATTCAGTTACCTCGGCTAATCGAACCACTAACCGATAAATGACCGGTCGATGGTAGGGGATGCTCGGTCGGTGGTCGGTAGGCGGATGGGGGTGGTTTGGTTAACCGATAACCGAACCTTCTATTTTTGGTTATAACCGAACCGACCGCCCTCCACCCCTAAGTGTCATCAAATGGGCTACTGCTAGATCCCCCCGATGGTGTAGAACTTGGATTTGATTGGTATGTAGACATAATATGATCTCTTTGAATTAGGTATCATGCTCTTTGTTGAAGATCCAATTGAGAAAGATCCTGAAGTATGATTTCTCGCTCGTACTTATTTTTTACCTTGCTTCCTTTGCCATCTCCCGTTCCTCCTTAATGACAGCCAATCTTGCATGTGTTGCCGAACTTGCCACCATGTCCACCAAGCTCTTTTGAAAAACTCCCATGTCAGAAAAATCACCACCTCCTCTTTATTCCTCTTTTGTTGATCTCGATCTTCGAAACGGTTGAGCACTCTTGGAGCAGCAAATGCTTGAGTGCCGGGGCGATCATGTTCATCATTTGACATAGCCGGGATCCATCCATTGTTGGAATGGGTGCTATAAGGGCATGAAATTGTTGGATAAAACCCATTCTTTCTTCGTGTTCGTGTTGAAAATAGCCTTTGGGTGTAGGGGTGTTCAAATGGTTACCGTGGTAATAACCTAACCAATTAATTCTAAATTTCATTAACCATGGAATAAAATGTCTTAACCAAACCGTCCAAATTAACATGAAAACCAAATTAACCAAACCAAAGTTTAATTGATTTGATTAATCGGATAATCGGATTAACCAAATAACATAACATTACATGAAAACAAACATAAACTATCATTTTATATAAGTAATAATAATAAGACTAACCATCCATAATTATCATCATCATTCGAGTTAATACATCATTCATCATCTTTGCACCTAATATAAGTAGCTTAAAACAAACCCCTAAACATAAATATATACCAATACCCCTCATGAGGAAGTTAAAGCTCTCCTACAAAACACTTAAACTATACATAGTTTGAGGTGGTTGTCATGGTATTGTGCGTAATCCTAAAGTCTAGAAGTTGTCCAAAATGTTTTGGTTTAGTAAATATAGACAGACCCATTTAATTTTTGATCCATAATGTTTTGGTTTGTTGTGCACATGGAAATAATATAGGGAATCACGAAAGTTTGGTTTGGTTGGTTGCAAGTAAGTATAAATAATTTTGTACATTAGGTGTATCATTAATTGGTTAATTGATTTCATTGGTTAGCAGTGCTGAAACCAAACCAACCCACCTAAACCAAATTATCTAAATTGTTTAACCAAACCAAACCAATTATCAAAATTAACCAAACCAAATTAATCGAATGCTACCGGTTAATATGGTTACTACGGTAACCAATCAGTTTGAACACCCCTATTTGGGTGATCCATCTAAATAATTAACTAAAAAATAATACACATGTTTAAAAATTAGGTAACTTAAAAGTGAAAATTTAAAAATTAAACCCACATATAGAATTGATAATGAGACACATGGTTAATAATTAAATATTTAAAATTTTTGCTATTTATTAACAATATGTATTAGAAATTGACTAACCACGCCACGTTGATTAGATCCACTCAGTAGATTAGCATTTGCATTCCTTCATGCCACATTCCACTTCTGACATGAATGTTTGATAAATTCTCATTGAGTCTTCAAGGTGCCATCGGTACGACTGATTATAAAGTCATTTGCAGAATATACTCTTTAATTCTCGTCCAGAAAGTTGGCAAAGATTGATAATGACCAATGATAGGATCTTGCAAAACCTCCATCCAAACATTGCACAAAACAAGATCTTCACGCGTTATGTAAATCGGATTGCAATCGCTGCCGGAAGAAGCCATGATTACTATTAAAGAGAGTTTAGGAAGTAGAGAATTTTGAGCTTGAATACTATGAAGAGAATGTGAGAAGTGTTGTCAAAAAGTGATGATTGAGTTTTATTTATCAAGTTGGGAAAAATACGACCGTTAGAAAATA